ATTGTTTTGCCAAAACGCTCAGCCGTTGCCAAGAGCGATGTCCAACTGGCCATGCAGCCATCGTCTTCACCCGAACGCCCCCGCGCTTTTTCACAGATCTCCGGTAGACGTGCTATACGCCCCATTACCGAATATACACCATCCAAGTTTCAGAGCAATCCACAATTCCGTGAATCATACAGGCGCATCAACACCGAATTGGATGCCACCAATACCAGTTTGAATGTCACCGTGGGTTCGGAAATTCCCAATAACTCCTCGTTTTCATTCTTTGGCGGACGTGGTCGTAAACGTGAACGCACTCCTCCCCATCACCACTCACAGTCGGCCATTGGAGAATTACCAACCGATATGGAAATATCACCACCAAAACGGGCCCGACTTGATTTCTTCAGCGTTGTTTCATCGCCCCTATCTTTGCTGCGTAATCGTTTCTCAAAGGCAACCCTGCAAAGCAGCACACCCGTCAAATTGCAACAGAAATTGGAGGAAAATGAAGACGATGTAGAGGTGCAAAATGTTTCTGGTGTATCGGTACATGAAGATATCGAAGAAAAACAAACCGAAGAAGTAAAGGAAACCTCAGCTGCCGACACAACCCTGGGCGTTGAAGCAATTGCGGACGGCGATGTTGATGATAAGACCACTGCCGCCCCCACAGAAGGTGAATTGGAAATTGGCGATAATGGCACCAAGGAATTGCCCCAGAAAATATCCGCCGAAGATACCGAAGGAGACATTAAAATCACAGTTACCGATAATGTGGCTAAAAATAAGAGATGTATTGTTATGTAAAATGTACATTTAGTTTAGTTTTATGTTTAGGTGTTTTAGTTGTAAGTAATTCATGACCCCAACAGCAGCCCCCCGCCATTTAAAAATTATAAAATGTCCCACCTTTTTTTTAATATTGTATTTGTATGTATGTGCCATAAAGCAACATTTTCAAAATTGTCGTTAAAAAATTCTTAGTACATTAATGTAAAATGTACTTTGTGGATTTTTTTCGTCACTGTATTTTAAAAATTAAAATGTAAAATGGTTTTTAATTTTCTTATTGACTTTGGAAAGAAATTTAATTAAAAAACCTAATCAGACATTAACAAAATAATTAACTGTTTTTTTTTTCTTTTACTAAAGAAAACTGTTTCTTTTTGTTGGACCTAGTCTTTTATTTGGAACAATTGAACATTATGTCCATAACTAAATCAAATGTTTTCTATTTTGATTTCATGCTTATAAAGGGTTTAACAAAATCAACTAGTTTTTTATATGTTACTTTACAAAAAAAAAACTAAAGATTTCAAATTAATAATTTGAAAAATTAAAAATAAAAATTGTATAAATTTTTAATTTCAAATCTTTGTTATTATCTTTCCAAATTATCTTTCATTACAACTTTATGTGCATACATTACTCATACCTAAATTTAAATTTAATCCATGTTAAAACAAAAAGAATACAAATTTTATGTTTATACCTTAATTCGATCTTAGCCTTAAACACAAACAAAAATATATCCTTAATACAAATGTTTATATAGATATATATCTCTTCTTTATTAAGACCCCATTTTTTATTTTATATAATTTTGTGACTCTAGACCACTCCACTCCCCCTATATTCCATATCAAATTATTAATATTTTATTATTTTACATAACAAACAAATGTCTCTTTAAAAGATTTTGTCATTTGCAACACAATATCATTAACAAAAAACCACACGATTTTAATTTGCTAACATAATACATATATGAAAAAAAAACAAAATAAAGCAACTATATATTATTTTTATTATTATATTGAAATAATAATCAATTTATAAAAAACAACAACAAAAATATGAAATGCAAACATTTTTAAATAAAGTGATTTTTACGAAAGTAAATTGTGTTGTTTATTGAGAATAATTTGACAATCCGCCCTATATTCGAAATCAAAATATTTTAATTGATGGATTCTCAGAGAAAAAAAATGTCGCATTCACTTTGTACCGTCTGCAATTTGTATACCCTTTACTAAGAGTTGAAGTATTTATTCAATTTGTTACTCCGTTTGCAACACGTCACCTGAGACACAATAAAGACAGAATACAATTGGACGTCGTTTTAGCCATGTTCCCCTCCTTGTCTGTTGAAATCACTGCAATATTATTCCAAGCATGTTTGGTATTGAAAAATATATACATAATCGATCTCTCCCATTTTCTTGGTTTTTTTTTAAGGTATTTCCAACTATAGGACAATTTTAGATGTAAGTCCATGTTTTCAGTGTACCCAATATCCCATCGAAGGGATTAAAGATTTTACCTGTAATTGGGCATGTCGGCTTTAAGGATAGTGATAGTTTTGGGTCCATGTTTTTAATATGCCCCATATAACAGTCCTGTATTATTTTTGGTATTTCCAATGTTTAAGCTGCAATAAGTTAAATATGCATTCCGAGTTCTTGAAGGGGAGAAATATCTCTGCAGGAAGCAACTGATATTAGTCCATGTTTTGGCATATTCCACACATAAACGTCCCGGAAGCTCCCCAAAATAATTAACGTAGTTGTTATGTGGGCCATAAACATAAACTGTGAGAAAAAAACTTCCAAAATGTGCCCCTCAGCAAAAATTCAGTTACCATGTTCTTAAATATATATGGCATCTGGATCAAAGATATGTCCGTATTCGTAGTAGAGAGATTGCAATCATACAGTGATGCAGACTTCTTTAAACCACCTTAAGACTTCGTTATATGTGCCGACGGGGTTTCCGTCGGGCTGACTTCGACAGTCCCTTACCCTCCGTCTTCTTGGATACTGGTGTCTGAGACGTTTCAGTATATGTAATATGTTTACCCTTGGGGGGTACTGAGGGCTTAGACGTCTTAGACACCAGCTTCCTAGGTGTACTAGGAGCTCCGACAGTTTTCTCCTTCTTTGAAGGGACTACCGTGGTGGTCTTCGAACAAGGTCTAGGAATCCTTCCAATAAAGAAGTCCCTCGCAATATCATACAGATAGTTCCTGGAGAAATTACGGATGAATTTGAGGTTCCTCTTGATCAAAAGGAAATCCTTTTCCGTGATGGAGTCGCTATCCTGTCCGATGAATCGGTGACAGTAGTTAACCGCTCTCCGGTACATCTGGTACTGGTGCTGATCATTCATTCATCTTAACGACGGGAGTCTCATAAGTACCAGTCTCCGCTTCGACAGCCAACTTGAGAAGCCTCGCGACGTCACTACAGGCCATGGAGTTCGGATCCTCAGCCTCGTCAGGGTTTACACCCCTACTCATCATCTGGGAGGACTCACCTTGTTTCGGAGGAGACACCAGGATAGCTACCGTGTTTGTCACCGTAGTGCTAATCACAGTAGTTTCCATGATGTCTTCCTCGTCTGACCAGGGTGAGTCATCCCAGAGTTGATTCGGGATGGTCTCCCGACTATGGCGGAAGGAGCCGGTTTCCTCTAGTAAGTTGAGGAGAAGATCCGTCTGCCTCTCTAGGCTTTCGTTCACGCCATCGAGAGTAACAGGATTTGAGGCAAAAGAGAGGTCCAGGGGAAAAGCCTGGGTTGTCAACATTTGTAGGTGTTCATTGAAGTCTGACATTGTAGAGTTCGAGACTGAGGGTGCCAAGGTAGCCGCACCAGTCCAAAAATCGCATAGCATATTGATTTTGTTTTAAGAAGCGGTGGTGGGGGTTATTAAAATTCGGCTTCATAGAAAGTGTTTTTAGTGAGGCATTGAAGTCAACATGGCATAGCCAAAGTAATTCCTTGCCGTTTTACAAGTTTTCAAAATGTTGACCCTTTGTGGTGAAAATACTAGCAGGAGTGGACCGATAAATCTCACCTGCCGTTCGTTTCATTTAAGATTTACAAAATGTTGAACCTCTGCATTTTCGAACAGAGCAATTAGAAGTATTGGTATATGTAAAATATATGCTTGTGCAATGTTTGGTTGCTCTGTTCGAAAATTCAGTTTCAGCATAATTTTGATCATATTGTGGGGGAGGTACCGGAAGGAGCAATTTTCACATCTTCGAACTTGAATTGAGTTTGAAATATTACGAGTTTATATAAAATTGCCCTTTCCATTCGCCTAATATTGGATTTTGATCCTTTATGGAATCCTGATCCAGAACGAGTGAACCAATTGGTCCCATCATCGGTAAAGATAATAGGTTTTGGTTTGGTTCAAATTGGAGAGCTCGTTTGCATGATATTATAGAATTAATGTTTAGTAAAATTTTGATCATTTTGTGGGGGGTGGAACCAGGCGGAGTGGACCGATATTCTCCGTCTTCGAACTTGAACTAATTCTGGAAGGAATATTACAATGTGCAAAATTTCGATGAAAGTGGTTAATCCCTTCGAGTGTTATAGTGCGCAACAGACGGTCAGACAGACGGACATTTGTAAATCGGCTCTAAATTGTGTGAAACTAATTTGGTCCAAAGAAACATGGGGTCTTTATATTATTAAAATTCTATAATTTTTATCAGAATACGTATTCTTCTTACGTTACGTTGTCGACTAATTCCATTATTACTTATTAACTCATACCCACCACAACAGGCTCTCAATGCAACATTGCCGTGTGTTGAATTCAACAATTATCAATGCAACACTGGGTGTTGTGTTGTTGTTTTTCTTCAACATTCAATTTTCCAACGTCTATCGCATTTTCCATTTATTTTTGGTAGTAACATTTCTATAGTTTGTAAAGGACATAGCTATTTATTATATTCCGTCTCTGTGTGTGTGTTTGCGATTATAGTGGCTATTGTGAAACAAAAATATATATTTTGTTATTTTTATTATTATAAACTATAAATGTAATGGATTCTTATTTGTGGTAATTGTTGTTGAAAAATAAGTACAAAAAAATCAACCAAAGACACCAGAGTTTCAAACAACACCGTTTTGTGGCGCTACAAAAAAAGCAATCACAAAGTGCGCGCCCTGTGATTTGTAGAGAAAAATGGAGGAGATTGAATCCCATGTTATGGGACTGGAAAAATTCGAAAGTAAATTAGAAAATTATTCAGATTCGGTATTGGACAAGGATGATATTGAGAATATTTCACACAATAATCATCATCCCAATGATTATAAAACACCCAAGAAATCGACGATACTAATCGATGGTGAAAAGCTGTTGGATAAAATTAATATATTGACAACAAAGCCGGAAAATACATCGACCAGTACAAAGGTAAAAAATATTGAGTGATAAACAAATATGGAAAAACTTATGGAATATCCTATCGTTTATTTCGGATAAAATGCGTGTTTGCCGGCTGGGTTATTTCATAATTTTTGTTGTTTTTCTCCTCCTATTGATACAGTTGTGTGTTCAGTTTGGCTGGCATGGCCTGGACACACACAACCAGCAATATCTTGCAATCGGTCGGTCGATCTGTCCTGTTATGTTTTGACGAAACATTGCTTGTGTTCTTGTTGTTTTTGTAGTGTTATGATCATTAGAAGTAACGACAACAACAACAACAGCAGTAGCATGATGTTACATGAACGCACATTAAAACGTTCCAGTCAGTGGTTGTTTTTGTTACCTTTAAATAAAATGCGCCGTGTTATCTTTTGTATTTGTTGTTGGCTTAAGCAACCATATTCCAAAAAGAGACACACGAAAACAACCGTTCGTTACAGGGTGTCAATGCATGGATTAATTTCTTCTATACAGCCACCAAATAACAGCTTTCGGGATAGTGCATTAGAACAGCTTATCCCTGTTTTCAAAAATACGTTTTTGTATTTTTTTAATTTGTTTCGGAAAAATCGTAAAGTATTGAATTTCGGAACTTCAGAGGTCCAAATCTCGGGATGTATGGACTACCCCCATGAAAGTTATATATTTTTATCAGGGAGGCCATCTGGTGGAAAAATCGGATATGAGTCCGTAAACCCCAATTGCTCCACTAAATCCTTTGCCCTTATAAAGTTATAAAACTATTATATTTAAAAGAAGGTCCATTGGCTTAACCACAAATCTTCCCATCACAGGAGGTGTGGACTTCTTCGATACTGTAATTACATATTTATAATCAGGGTTCCAACCGCTTCCAATTGTTCAATCCATACTGCCTTATTTAGAACTAATATAGGATTCTCTTCCTTGCCAAGGTTTACGTCCCTACTCGTCATCGGAGAGGACTCGCCTAGATTTGGAGGAGTCACCAGGATGGCTATTGCTGTAATGCTAATCACAGTATATCCATGACGTCTTCCTCGTCTGTCAAGTGTGAGTTGTCTCAAATTTAAAAGGGATGCTCTCATGACTAAGGTTGATGAGAAGGTCCATCTGCCTCTCCAGGCTTTTTTTACGTCGACGTGAGTAATGAGGATTGAGACAAAAGAATGGTCCAGTGAAATAGCGTAGGTCGTCAACCTTTGTGGGGGTTGATTGAATTCTGACCAATGCAGCCACACTAGCATCAGCCGAAAAATCGCATATATTGTTATTAATATTTTTAGAAGAAGGGGGTAAGGGTATTAAAATTCGGCTCCATAGAAGAAAGATTTTGTGAGGATTTAAGGTCGGCCTTGGCATAGCACCTTACCATGGTAAGGACTCGGCAACTAAGCTGGAAAAATTTTGTTGAGGCGCACAGGTGTTAACAGGGGTCCGTTCTAATACAGTGGGGACCTTAAATGTAAACCATGAGCACTAACGGGCACGAGGCAGCGTTAGGGAGGTCACATGGGAAGGTAGTTACCTAATACCTTGGAATTGGATATTTGAAGGCAACATTCTCGCCTCGTCAGTCCTTGGACCCGCTTCCCAGCATACGCAACCAGTGGTGGAGCGCCGTAGGTGGAGCGGAACTAAAGTAGTGCGCCAACAACCGTACTGTGTTATCCCACTAAACTGCAACCATTTCATGATCAACTACGCCCGTTATGATGATGATCTTCTGTAGTGACCAATGACGTTCACTGAACTTAACTTCATGGTCAGCTTTGTTAATCATGGTCACTCTCTGGCCATCTGGAGCCATCCGTCGAGTTGTCGTTTCCATAGTAACGGGTTTCGAAGGTTGCTGCGACGACTTCCCTCTGGGTACGACTTTCGCCTTCCCTGTGATAGCCTTGTCACTTCCTTATCCGCTGCTAAACCCGCCTTTGAAGCAAACCTGGAAGTTTCCTGTCAAGACTTGCCAATAGGTCCGATTTTCGTCTTCCCAATGACAGCCTTCCCACTATCCCTCCTCGCAGTTACCGGAACATGCGAGACCGCGGGTTGAGCTGTTTTCGTCCGTAAGGGCTTCTTTGCAGTTGGTTACTTTTCCTCCATCGATCTCATCCTCTTCATTCCTATAGACGACGTATGTGCAAGGTTTTAAAGCTCTATTTTGAATTTTGCTACGGACTAGAATTAAAATAAAATGTTAATCTAAACCTTAATACAGTCGAAATTTGTGGCTATAAGCGATATGTCGTTATAAAGACTTGCCAATAGGTCTGATTTTCGTCTCCCCAATGACAGCCTTCCCACTATCCTTCCTCACAGTTACCGGAACATGCAAGACCGCGGGTTGAGCTGTTTTCGTCCGTAAGGGCTTCTTTGCAGTTGGTTACTTTTCCTCCATCGATCTCATCCTCTTCATTCCTATAGACGACGTATGTGCAAGGTTTTAAAGCTCTATTTTGAATTTTGCTACGGACTAGAATTAAAATAAAATGTTAATCTAAACCTTAATACAGTCGTAATTTGTGGCTATAAGCGATATGTCGTTATAAACGATGAAATATATTTGGTCTGCCGTCTCCGATGATTATTCGATGTGTTTTAAATCGAATGCCAACTTATATATAATATATACTGATTTTGAGAAACTACCTTTCATCCAATTTTATACGATTTGGTGTATAGTACATTAGACAGAGACATTTTTATTGAAGTTTATCTACATTTCGGCATTCGATCCTAATTTCATTTTCATATTTCCTTTTGACATTTTTTCTTATTTTATTTATCTTCCATTTCAGCTCCCAACAATTAAGGATTTTGTCATTATCAAACCGATTAGTCGTGGTGCTTTTGGTAAAGTATTTTTGGGCTATAAGAACAATGATCACAACAAGCTGTATGCCATCAAAGTGATGCGTAAATCTGAAATGATCAATAAAAATATGGTCTCACAAGTAATAACGGAACGTAATGCCTTAGCATTATCGCGTAGTCCATTTTGTGTAAATCTATTCTATTCACTGCAATCGGTGTCCTATGTTTATCTCGTTATGGAATATATGGTAGGTGGTGATTTAAAATCATTGTTGACAATGTATGGTTACTTGGATGAGGCTGCAGCCCGTTTCTATGTAGCTGAAGTGGCGTTAGCTTTGCAATATTTACATGAACATGGTATAATTCATCGTGATATCAAACCCGATAATATGTTAATATCGGCAACGGGTCATGTAAAGCTGACCGATTTTGGTTTAAGTAAAATTGAAATGAGAAAAGGTGAAAGAGGTATGAATTTACATTAACTCTGCGATTATATATGTAATCATCATTGTTTGCATTCTATTTTAGATTTGGAAATATCCGATCTCATTAATTGTTCACCAAATTTGAATGCACGAACACCTGGACAATTGTTGTCGCTAACATCACATTTATCCTTTGGCTCGGAAAAGAAATTAGAATGTGGAACGGGAACTTCACATTTTATAAATACCATAAATAAACACAGTAAGCAACGTTTTTGAAAATATTACAATTTATAAAAATGTAAACGATGGCCGAACAGAAATATTGTATAAAGTTACTCGAGGATGGCGACAAAGCATTGTTATCCCCATATTATGGAGAATAAATCCGAAATGTCTGATTTTAGGTTAAACATAATTATGACAAGTTTCACTTAAGGATACAACTTATTCTCATTTTATTGTTGCAGTAGCAACTGAAATATAAGAAAGATGAATTGTTATTTATTGACTGGTTCTGGCTACTCGATATCCAAAATTCAGGAATGTTGTAACATGTATGGGATGCGTCCACAAGAAATTTCTATAAATGAGAGTAGGCTCAGTTCAGCAATTAAAGGGGTGCAATGTGCTTTTTCGTTTCTAGTCCTCATGTTGTCCACGTATTAGATATCTAGCAATCAATTCGTGCCCAAAAGGAATTGCTTTTATCTTACCGATTCTAAGACTAGGAAGCCGCTTGTCTTCTGCTGCTTGACAACTGCATCTATATGAATGCTTTTGTTTTTCCATCAGCCCCATTTCTTTTCAGCTAGTTTCGGATCGTGAACTCCTCTGTTGTGGAAACCATGTGCATGTTGCTGTATCAGTGCTCCGGATCAGTGCTCACGGCTGTACCTTAGGCTTGTGGAATGATCGCTTTGTGTGGATGGGAGACGGTGTGGAATTGGCTTTGGCTATGAACCTGACCGAATATTTCGATAGCTCGGGTGTCAGGACCCCTAGATCTGCAGATCTAGCCTGGCAGTTGGTGTTAGCACTTCGGGTAGCATCGTGCTGGAGGTGGTTTATACTCAAATCGCGGGTAGAGTTTTGGCTCGATATGGAGTTGCATTACAACCGGGTGCCTGACCCATAGAAAGGCAATAGTTTTAGATGGGCGCCGCTCCTCATCCAAGGAGGAAATCATGGTTCCTTTGGGGATTTGCATAGAATCACTTTCTGAGTCGATTTTGGCATGTCCGTCTGTTGATGTTAAATTGTAAACAAAGTACAGGTCGCATTTATTATCCGATTTGGATGAAATTTGGCACAGCTCATTTTTTTTTGGCCCAAAGACGATTCAGATTTAGATAGTCTAGTCCCTAAATATCTTTCGATTTGCACGAAATTTGGCATAGCGTAGTTAATAAAGCCTAGAATGATGTGTGCTAAGTTTCGTGAAAATCGTTTCAGATTAAGATATAGCTCCCATATATATTTTCGTCCGATATAAGGAAAATGGTGCCCCAAAGTCCCTAAATATCTTTCGATTTGCACGAGATTTGCCATAGCGTACAGAATTGAGTTTATAATGATGTGTGCTAAGTTTCGTGAAAATAGGTTCAGATTTAGATATAGTTCCCATATATATTTTTGTCCGATTTAAAAGAAATGGTGCACCAACGTTCTTATATATAATTCTTTCAATTTCATGTGAATGTTCTTTCGACTAGGAGACTGTAGAATATTCCCAAAATGGTGAAGGATATCATATAGTCGGCCCAGCCCAACTTTACTATTTTCCTTACTGGTTTCATTTATGCTCGCATACTAGACTGTTGACATCAACAGCTCGTTTTCTCGCCCTTGGGTCTCCATCGATCGTACGACGAAGCTTGTTGCGTTCTTTGACAGATTCCATCGCCTTTGCTGTGCTAGAACGAGTAGCTATATAACGAGTGGCATTAGTTGTGACAATTTTATGGAAATTCTTCCCCAGAATCTTGGGAATCTGAGGACTTGACCAGCTCATGAATCATTGATTGGGAAATTGTCCGCTTCTCTATGGAGAAGTTCAAAAAAGTATGCCGTTCAAATGCAATGAAGTTGGGTGGCCGATTAATAGAGAAATACAATTTTGGGACCAATTCATGAAATTTTGAACCAGAGTCTATTATTTTTTATAGAATACATATCCTCTGAGAAAACGAAATAAACCAGGTGCCCAATTATTTTTGATTATAATTCGAAAAGGGCATCTGATAATTTGATTCTATAGAAAATAGATTTTTAGATTCTATTTCAAATATATATTTGTTTTATTTATAATAACAATTTATTTATACCTTAATAAAGATAACATTATGGAATCATCGGACAGTGAAGCTGACACATCATTAAATGATGCCGAAAAAACAGACGATAGTAAAATATCTGGAGTATCGCCATTCTTTTCAGCCGAAGAAATAAATGTTTCAATAGCTGGAACACATACATGTAACAATAATAATGTAAGTAGTCAATGTTGTTGTAATCGTGGACTACTTATTTAACATTAACATAATTTTCTCCAATATTACAGTTAATGGATAGTAGCTCATCATATCATACCTGCATCTCTGTAGATATAACAAAAATATCACCACCAATGGATAATCAAGTATACAGCAGTTGTAGTTCAATGATACCGCCACAAAAACGTGTTGAATTTGCCGACAATAATAATGCCACGAAGGCATACTGCAATGTAAGTAGCACAAGAGGGATATATTCCCAAAAAAATTGCTAATAATTTATTTTCAAAATCTTAAAAAGGGCTGCAAACTTGAAAAAACAAAAACATATGAAAGTAAAGAAAACATCTGTAATAAAAATCTAGCCAAAGTGGAAAATGCCAACGATACGTCGTTCGAATTTTCTATGATGCGTCGTCGTTCCATAGATGAGGTGCGTTTTTGTATTCAAAAAAAATATATGTATTGTGTTCCTCATTTTCTATGTTCTATCTAAATGTGTCTGTTTCCTTTGAATGTTCCCCTATGTTAAAAATCCACATAAAATCTTCTAGACATGGTCAATTTTGTTTATATCTACTAAACGTGATTTCATCATACTAACGTTTTTTTAAGTAAAAAAATATATATTATTTATTGTGCAAACCCCAATGTTCTTACTTGATTGATAATAATATTTTTTTTTAATCTTAAGATTCGAAATACTTAATTATACCCTTCACCACACTGTGGTACAGGAGATTATGTCTTTGTGCATATGTTTGTAACAGGCAAAAGGAATTGAGATAGGCCCATGTTTCCTTTTGAGAATATGCATAGTATAACTTTCTAAGTCGATTTATGCATGTCCGTCTGTACGTCCGCCCGCCCGTCCATGTATTTTGGAGAAAATCGGTTCAGATTTAGATATAGCTCCCATATATAGTTTCGTCCGATTTTATGTAAATGGTGCACCAATTTTCCAATATTGGTCGGATTGAGGCAAAATTTTGCACAGAGTACTGAAATAGGTCTAGATTGATGTATGCCATATTTTATTGAAATCGGTTCAGATTTAGATATAGCTCTCATATACAGTCTCGTCCGATTTTTTGTAAATGGTGTACGAAACTTACAATATTGGTCCGATTGAGACAAAATATTGAAATGTTGAAATCGGTTCAGATTTAGATATAGCTCCCATATATAGTTTCGTCTGATTTTTTGTAAATGGTGTACCAAACTCCCAATGTTTGTCCGATTGAGACAAAATATTGCACAGAGTACTGAATTAGGTCCAGATTGATGTATGCGCAGTTTTGTTGAAATCGGTTCAGATTTAGATATAGCTCCCATATATAGTTTCGTCCGATTTTTTGTAAATGGTGCACCAAACTCACAATTTTGCACAGAGTACTGAATTAGGTCCTGATTGATTTATGATAAGTTTTTTTTTTTTTGAAATACATATAATCTTCCAGTATACAGTCAATGTTCTCCGATTGAAACAACATTTTGCATACCGTATTGAAGTTACTACAGGTTTGTATGTGTATGGGTTGTTTTAATTTAGTTGAAATATCTTCACGTAGTTAATTTCGTCCGATTCAATTTCAATGATTCTCCAAAGATGCTATGTCTGTTCTATCAAAAGGATATTGTACATTTGATCATATCAAAGTGGTGAAGGGTATCATATAGTCGGCCCCGTCCGACTTTTACATATTCCTTACTGGTTTTGATATGTCTCAAATAATATTTTAGAATATCTGTTTTAATAAACCCTTCAGAAAATTACAGATCTACTAACAACATGGTGGATGTTATATCCTTTTTAACAAGTTGAAGCATTATCCCTTTAAATTTTGTTGATTCGGTATGAAGATTTGAAAATTGTTTTTATTTATATGTTACTATTTTTCTACCTCAGCGCATTCGTTCTTCCAAACCCCAAGAAGATTCTGGTGTATCAAGTCGAAAAAGTGATTATTCCACTTCGAATGTGAATAGTGAAACTACAACATCTTCCATAGATAAAGCTGAAAATATGTGCAATTCTGGAGATGATTATAGTTGTTCGGATTATTCGAAAAGGTAAGTGGATTTGTGCTAACACTTAACACAATATACATATCCTTCTGCATACTAATTTTTATTTTATTACATTTTTTCATTCCAACTAACCAAACAACTCTTCATCATCATCATCACATTTTGTATTCTCCTGTCTGGTGTCTTACATCAATCCTTTGCCGCATCTAATCAGCATTAATATAAATAATACCAATGAAATGAGCGGAATACGTATGCATTCGCCATTTCGCAATATTTCAAGAAATTTTAAACGTCCTGAATTACAAAGGTTAATATAATCTCAAATGATTCTCTTTACATATAACATATCTTGCTACACACACACAGACACTAACAACACACTTTTTTTATTATTTCTTCTCATATACTTTCTCGTATAGCTCTTTTCGTGGCATGAAACGTAAAATCAATTTAATTAATCGTTCGGAAAATAATTCCAGTTTGGATATTGACGGTTGCATGGGATCGGCTAGTACGGGTTTAACACAAGAAATTGACATATTGGATATTGGTTCGAGCACCCCAAAGAAACGTAAAGCAAAATCACCCATACGAGGTGTACTGAAAGTACGATCTCTATCGGATGATGAAATGCCACAACCGATACCGGATAATGTAGCTAACGTTGTATTCTCAACACCGGTTTCATCGCAAAAGTTACCGCGTCGTGATGGTGGCCTATTGGGAAAATTAAAGGCAACACGCTTTGCTTTACCCCTATCAATTGAAACGAAAAAAATCGAACAACTAACAGAGAAATCTTCGGGTGTGCAATATTTGAAGATGGCCCATGATGATCCAACTATGTCACCAATAAATCTCAATTCCAACAATATACCCAAGACACCGAAAAATATCAATACACCATTTAGAACACCGAAGTCGGTGCGAAGATGTGGCCGAAATTCGAGTGAGCGGATTTTGGGTACACCCGATTATTTGGCACCTGAATTGCTGTTGAAGTATGGATACGATTGTTTAGATTTTGATTTTCATTTATATATAACACATTGATGTTATTAATTTATATATTTTCTTTTTTAATTTTAATTTCGTATCTTATAGACAAGGTCATGGTCCCGCTGTGGATTGGTGGGCATTGGGCGTTTGCTTTTATGAATTTTTAACTGGTATACCACCCTTCAATGATGAAACACCCCAAAAAGTATTTGACAACATTCTTAACAAAAGTGAGTTTAATTTAGAAAAAACAATAGTTTCGTTCCAGAATCTTACTCGAAAACCACTTCTAAACCCACAAAACTGCGAAAACATTGAATCAAATTTAAGAGAGCACAAAACAAAATGACGTTCTCTTTGTAATCTTTTTACTCGAGAAATTTGGCCGAGTAAAAATGGTAAGCCGGAATGCCTACTTCTGATTGGCTGTTATGTTGATTTTGAAGTATTTGCATATTTACTAGATTTGCGTTCCAGAACTTTTCAAACAGACCGGAACAGACCAAATATTGTACATAAATTGGTTTCCAACAAGGCGAGTTATTTTTAAATGCAGTCATTTTTCCGACTGTATTCGAACGGAGCCTCATCGATACCTGGGAGCCTCGATGAGTTGTAGGTTTATTTACCAAGTCTCTGCCATGGCAGAGTGGCTATGCCATGGTTGATCTCAGGTCCTCCACTTAATAAATGCCAATGGCACCCTCCGTCTCAATTGTCACAAGTGCTAGAACTCAAAATATGAACTCAGAAACGGATTCTTCTCAAAAAGCGTATGCTCATTACATACAGTCAACAAGCCATTATTTCTGACGGAGACACCTACTGAGGGGAATGAAATCGAAAGTGGGTGTTCTAAAGTTATTTTGAACACTTTGCTGTCGCCTCCTGTGCCGAAAATTGCCAAACCCAAGGAATCAACCAGAGTAAACAGCTCTGCCTTCGGTCTCGTATGTTCCGGTAGTAACCGAGAAGGATAGTGGGAAGACGGTAGTCGGACTGATTGACAAGTTTTCAATGTCTGTTCCAAAGGCGGTTTCAGTAGCGAACAAGAATGTAAATGGGAAGGCCACCACGGGGAAGACGAAAGTCGGGTCTGGTGTAAGTCTTCAAATCTACTTTTGAAGCTCGCGGCGACACAAACGGCAGCCTTCAGGGTCTGTTCCAAAGGAAATGGGAAAGCTGCCACAGGGAAGTCAGACCTAGTGGTGTTTTCCTCACAGCAACTTTTGAAGTCCGCGACGACTGAAAGGACAACTCGTCGGATAGTAGGGTAGCCATTATTGACAACACTGACCATACTGGAAGAATTAGCAAAAATCATTGGTCTATATTCGACCGTCATCTGAAGGTCATCATCATAACGCGCGTGTTTGATCATTGTCGATTACAGTTTTCTGGGGTTATCCTGTATAAGACGACCAGGATCATAAACTCTGGTAATAAGGAGTCTGCCGATTACCTTATTAAGGCAGTCAACGACTTTGGGAATTCTCGGTTTAGTCCAGTAGACTGTAATAAGTTTTATTTTTTGTGGTCGAAACCTTTCAAGACGTAAACAGCCCAGCCTTTGGTCTTGCATGTTCCTTGGGAAGACGATAGTCGGACCGATTGGCAAGTTTTCACTGGAACCTTTCAGGCGAAAGTCAGACCTAGTTGTGTTTTCTCACGGCAACTTTTGAAGCCCGTGAAGACTGAAAGGACAACTCGACGGATAGTACAAGATGAGGCTAGCCATTATTGACAAATCTGACCATAATGGAAGAATTAGTGAAAATCATTGCTCTATATTTGGTCGTCATCTGAAGATCATCATCCTAAAGCGACATGGTTGATCGTGATCAGTTACAGGTTGCTTTTTAATGTCATGAACTGTAGTACTAAGGAGTCTGCAGACTATCTTATTAAGACGGATAACGAAATTGAGCACCACTGGGAGGATAATGAACTCTATGTCCGTGAATGAGATCCTGTGTGGAATGATGACATATGCATGTAGAATCGTCGAGGTAGTTGACTGAATATCTTAAAGAAGAACGTCGGCCCGGTTGTCAAGTACGCCACGGATAAAGCCGAAGAGGTGTAGAGGATCTCAGATTAGTATTAAAATTAATAGTTGCAACGTGATGTCGTTATGTTCCATCCTCATTATAGGAATTTCGATGCTGATGGGCGCACTCTCCAACTGAAGATGCTATATTTTAGGATTACGAAATTGTTATTTTGAATGTCTATGATCCAGGGTGGAGTGTATTACTCTTTACGATTTTTTTTATGACCGGAGTTGGAAGTTATTGATCTGCAAAATCTATACATTAATATGGAAGGTTCTCTTGCCCATTTTCAATACTTTTTTTTGGTGGACACGTGTTGTTTTAAACCAAAAGACCAGCGTTGATTCAATATCCATTTGGTGCTAGTTATGACAATTTTACCTTCCATACCTTCCTCTTTATTAAGAAATTAATTTTGATCCTCCGATCTGATCCAATCTAATTACTATTATATTATTTTCCTTTATAGATATTGAATGGCCCGAAGGTGATGAAGCCCTATCTGCTGAAGCCATGGAGGCTGTGGATCTTTTGCTTACCATGGATCCAACGGAGAGACCAGCCGCCAAGGAGGTACAGCAAATGGCTTTCTTCTCCTGTATAGATTGGGACAACATTGAAAATGAGGAAACACCATTTGTGCCAAATCCAGAAACACCCACTGACACCGGCTATTTTGAAGCTCGCAATAATTTACAACATTTGAAACTATCAAATTTTGCTCTGGAAGACTAAAATCAATGCACCCACCCGTGACCGAACAACCGACCGCGATTGACCAACCGATCCAATTCGATGCGATGGTGATGATAAACGGTGCCCTTATTTATTGTTGTGATAAGATTTATACAATATATATACACATATTTGTTTAAACTGTTTTTGTTATCTATTGTGTGTTTGGTAAACATTCAATTGAAGAAAAAAAAACCCCAACTGGAGCCAGGCTGCATCCTTAAAAAACTGAACTTTCAACTTTCCCTCGGATTATTTCTCTCTAACTCTCTAGCTCTTATGAATTGTATTGATTTTATAGCCGCGCTTTTATTGTTTGTTTTTTTTTATTATAATATTCATTTCTTATGATAATCTTTATTGTTTTTAGTGGTTATGCATGTTTTTTTTTTTATTTTTATGTTTTTTCTTTGATTAGTCATTTAGTTTAAGTAACTCGCCGCTCGTCTATGATTATCTGAAGCATACATACATATATATTTTTTATTTTTAAATTATAGTACAGTCAGTTATGTATAACTATCATTATTATTTTTTAATTTTATTATTTAATTATAACTCCAAACAAACATACACTTCCCATTAAAAGACATTTTTTGAATGTTGAAAAAGAAATATTATTATTATTCTCATTCTCACTCCTTTATTTCGGTACTGTATTTAAATGCGATTGATTTAAGTTTCATCTCTTTAGTTTAGATTTTAGTGAAATATAAATAACAACAAAAACTTATAGTCACTTTAAATAATACTAAAACATTTTAAAAAATGATATACCAAATAAAATATATATAAATAAAATTAACATTATTGGATTTGAATCCTTCAAATAGTATAATAAATGGAATTGAAATAGCAACAGTCAAATAGTCGTTGTTTCAATATATAATAGTTATTACATATATAAAATTGTCAATGTTTGCAGATCGTTTATATTTTTCAAATTTGTCAATGAGATCCTTACAGACAATTGAAAATGAATTAAATATTTTTTATTGAGCTAAATGTATTTCGTACCTAACAACACACTCATTTGTAATCGATTATTCTTGTTCGTGCAGTCCGATTTGTATGAATAAAAAAAATCAATTGAATTCAAATTTTCTGCTTTGCTAAGTTTCCTGATATTTTTTGGCTTTCTAAAAAAGTACAAACGTTTGTTGGTCATTTTTTTGGCAAAAACTTCAGAAAAACGATGCCAAATGTCACATGGGTGGAATACTAAAAATAATGTGGGATAACAGTGCCTTCGAAAACTTGAAACATAAACATAAACGTAAATGTATTTTGTTTAATAGATAAAGGAAAAAACGGTTGAGTATTTCCAGTAGACTTTATGGAGGCATATGAAATATACATATATGAAAAGTTTTATTTGTCAATTCTAAACCATAACGTTCACGAAGCGCCTGTTCCTTTCGCAAATGAGCATGTCAAGACTGATGAAAATCAGTCTCTGGCTGACAGGAATGTAGTTCTGGGAGGGGACGACATACACTGGACTCTATGCGCTATCCGCGATAGTCTAGAGGAGCAAAGTAAGGAACTCTTCGACCTGTTAGAAAGACTGGTACCGGAAGAGCAATGTGGGGATACGCTTCCGAAGGAACTGCTATTGAATCCTACCATAACTGTGATCCCAGTTAAGTCTACACAGGTTGATTGCTGTAGTAGTAACGTAGGAAGTGCAGACCCTGTTGACCGACCGACTTCCAGTCTGACTACTACAGGTCCTGTGTTGGCACCCGCCGACAAACTTCAGAGGCAATCTGCAACGGAGGCGATGTCCGACGATAGGGAATCTGTTGAGATCCCAGCAACGGACAGCGGCTGAAAGTTGGGAAGGCCCGAGGCTGATGCGAAGCATTACAAACGATCTGTTTCGTATCTCCGCAAATTCGTGGGGCGAGACGCGAAGTTGATCTCGGAGAGGGAGGTCCACCTCATCAAGGGTAAGATGAGATACGTAAGAAAGTTCGAAATAATCTATCCGCACGCTCTTCACCGTGAACTCGAGATGGACAGGATCTCCTTCCCGAATCCTAATACTCGCACAAAAGTGGTAGAATAGGCGAAGCCCAGTGTCTCTGACAAAGGTGATAAGCCGACTTCTGACCTGAAGCCCAGCTCGAAGCCGAACCCGATTAAGAATGGACAGGAAAAGGCAATTGAGAACATCCCGAAGCAGAATGTCGCCCATAAGGGTGATCAACGCCTAACGACAAAGGTGAAGCTAAAGCTTTGGGTGGATCCACTAGTGGTCGAAATAGGAAGAAGGGGAAGTCAGTCAAGGAACCATCGTCTCCTGGGGGAAAACCGTTGGCGGCTTTGGCGCGTTTTGGGAAGGAGCCAACCTTGCTGCGGTCTCCCTATCCGAAATCCTAACCAGACGGGTCTTTTCAGCTTGGGTTCCCCCACCTTCAGTGGACAAGGATCTCCTGCTGAAAATGCTGACGCTGTAAAATCCCAGCCTCACTACATCGAGCTGGACTGCTGTCAGTCTAGCTCCCTGTAACGAGGATGGTTGCGGTTGAAATTTGGTGCAGGATGGGTTCGGTTCGACTGAACACATAGCATAGGCTGCGCGTCCTGCAGATCAATCTGCATTTTTGCAAAGCCGCATCCGCCGAACTACTCCTGTCCCTCATGGGACAAGAGTTTAAATCTAATCTTTCTATCTAATTACAGCAATGGTGACATGTGCACGGTAAGGCTGGAGCATTCGACTGGAATGACCACCCTGCTCTCCTCAGTCTACATGCCCTTTGAGGAACTGGATCCACCCAACACCAGTGTACGAAAGATGCTTGATGAAATGACGAGCACTTGCAACGTCATCCTGGGATGCGACGAAAAAGCTCACCATTTTCAATGGGGTAGCAAGCACACTAATAAACGAGGTGAGTCCATTTTCGATTTCATTCTATCCATAATTTACGTATATGTAATGTCAGTGATCCGACCTTTAAAATTAGGGATAGAGAGGAGGTCATTGACTTAACCCTCTCAAATCTAGATGACTCCGTCATCAGTGATTGGAGGGTATCTGATGAATGTTCCTTTTCGGATCATTTAAAGATTTTCTTCTAGGTCTATTTTGGAGCAGGTAAACAACAGCCATATCGGAATCCAAGGAGAACAAACTGGGAGAAATTCACGGAGCTAACGAACTGACTCTTAATACAAACTTAGGAATAGCTGTGGAACTTAATGGGGCCGTGAACAATCTAGCGGACGTTCCCCTTAGATGCCATAAGGAATCCTGTCCGCTCACATACCCTGGGAAGAAATCTCAGCCAGTGTGGTGGAACAAGGAACTAAATCTAAACTCGATATTGATTGGAACGCCTACAGAGCTAGTTTCAACAAATACAAAAGTGAGATAAAACGCGCAAAGAAAAGGTCTTGGAAAAATTTCTGTGAGTCGATAGAAGGAGTCAACGACGCTGCTAGGCTTCGAAGACTATTATCCAAGGATCCGAAGTCCATTGGAAGTATCAAGAAGCAGGATGGAGCGTGGACGGACTCAGGTTCTGAGCAGGGAAACCAAGCCATTCTCCACCAAAGGACTATATACCCATTAGCTTATCATCCTTTCTCCTCAAGACTCTCGAAAGCCTGTCGGCCTGGTGATTAGGTGTCGCATAGACACCACCTCTCATAGCAACTCACAACAAGCATACATAAAGGCCAAGTCTGTAGAATCTGCACTGCACGAGGTGGTAGGCTACATTGAGAGGAATATGGAAAATTCAAATTTTACGCTGGCCGCCTTCCTAGATATAGAAGGATCTTATAACAACGTTAAATTGGAATCCTTAAACCACTCACTTAAAGAAGTTGGCATTCCTGATACACTTACGTATTGGATAGATAAAATGATTAACAGCAGAATTATAAATTCAAGTGTGGGGTATACAAAAATCAGGAAAACGGTACTAGAGGCATACCTCGGGGAGGGGTGCTGTCGCCGTTACTATGACTATTGGTAATTAATAATATACTGAGGGAACTGGACGGGAAAGGTAACACAGTTGCAGCTTATGCGGACGACGTTGTGATATTGATTTCCGGAAAATTTCCGTTAACAATCTCGGAACTGGTAATGTTCACTAGGAAGCGTAAGCTCGGCGTTTTTGCTCCACCAACACTGGATGGAGTGCAACTTCACTTATCTCCTGAAGCAAAGTACATCGGCACAATCCTGGACTGTCAACTACGATGGAATAGGAACGTTGATTAACGGACGAATAGAGGGATGATTGCACTCTATGCATGCAATAACTCCATTGGGAAAAAGCTGGGGGCTAAAACCATCGACTATACACTGGTTGTATAACTCTGTTGTAAGGCCCATCCTATGCTATGGTCCTCTTGTGTGATGGAACTGTCTGCGCCTCAAGTCGACATCCAGTAAATTAGACAAGGTACAACGAGCCGCCTCGATTTTAGTTACAGGGGCCAGAAGGAGAACCCCACAAGCAGCTCTGAACGCAATGCTGAACTTTAAGCCTCTGAGCCTCAGCGTTATGTGTGAGGCGCGCGTAGTGCCCTAAGGCTGCATGAACAAAACCTCTGGCGAAACTATACCTTTGGGCATGGTAGTATTTTGAACGAGCCAGGAATGACATTGGACCAACGCGTTAAACTAAGCGACTATATATCACCAATCCTGAGATTTGACTATGTAGATGTCGTTATTCCTAGTAGAGACGACTGGAACCGAAGTAACCCTCCTCTGGACGGTCTGGCCTTCTATACAGACAGATCCAAGATAGAAGAAGGTACAGGGGCGGGCGTCTACTGTGAAAGGCTAGGCCATGAGTTAACCTATTTTTGTGGATAGTCAAGTTACTCTTTAAGCCATCAAATCTTGTTATATCAAATCTGAGGCCGTCCTCAAGTGTAGAGCAGCTTTGGAAGAACTTATTTAGAGCTATGGGTTGTGTTGGGTACCAGGATATTGTGACATCTTGGGTAATGAAAAAAGCAGACGAACTAGCTAGACGAAGATCTCAATCCACAGATCTAGCCACTGATGACTCAACCAAACCACCCATATGTCATTTTTACCAGAAGTTTCAGGTATTCTTCGACGAAAGAGCCTATGAACTTTGGCACAACGAACCTATGTGCAACGTGTCAAGATCCATTTGGCAGACTCTGTCTACCAAAAGAATGCACTCACTGTTGAACCTGAGCAAAGCTGAAATAAGAGTGATAATAGGAATCATTACTGGTCACTGCAATCAGGGCTTTTACTAGTAAATGGGATCTTGATGCAATTGGTTACTGTAGACTCTGCGTTGACGAGGAGGAGACGGAGACAATTGAGCATCTCCTGTGTCACTGCCTAGCCCTGGCCTACAGGCGGCACAGACTCATTTTCTGCTGAGACTCGGTAGAAAATGACAACCGAACCTGCTCTAATCTACAGCATAATTAGAAACCTAAAGTGGTTAGGAACGTACAACCTTTACACGTAACACATCTTCTATCTGATTCCTATAGCCATCGACCTTATTCCAATTTTACCTTTTTCTATATATTTCTGTAAGCTTCTCATCTCCCTTTATTTCGCCAATCTTCTCTCCCCTACAGATCTGTGCTTATCTATTCTCTTCTCGAGGATTATCACAACGGACCTAATCGGTCTCAGAGTGCTGCAGCCACATAAGTGAATGCACATCCCCAAACCTAACCTAATTGCCTAAAGGGTCGTCTGGCTAATGTAGTAGTCAAGATTTCCTAGCATGTCCAAAGTGCAAATTTCGTCATGTTCCGGTTTCCTTGAGTATCAAAACACACCTTGTTGCAGAAACCTAACCAAAAGTCAAGTGGCTGGAAATTATGCTCAAAGAAGCTTGAGGTGTACTTCTAGGTGGTCGAGTGCTCTGTGTCTTCCACCATATTCAGTGACCCAAAAAACCGCTCAGATCACACAACATACCTCAACACATCATATTCAAACTCACTTCATGTCATGTTTATTATAAATTAGTTTAATTCCAATACAAAATATATTTGCCTTCCTTGAGTTTGGTAATTTTAATAATTTAAATAAATTTAAATCAGTAAGGAAAGTAGTAAAGTCCGACTGATCCGACTATAAGATACCCTTCACCATGAGTACATATGTATCCGAAAAGACGTCGCCTTTTTGAAGGAATTTTGACATGAAATTGAACGAACTTAAATATGTGATTTTTATATCTTTCTGGAACCTATGCTAAATTTCATTTCATTTGGACAACTTAAGAGTCGTTTGCGCACAGTGGGACAGATTTCTGTAAATCGAATTAAAGCAAACTTGACACAAGCTATTCGGTATGCTGCACTGTTTAAAATTTAATCTCAATAAATAAGTCGAAATTATATATGGAAGCTACGAGATATCTATATCTGAACCGATTTGAAGCAAACTTACCAGAGATTAATTTATACTAATTTCAATGCGTTGTGACAATCGGTAGTGCACAATTTACTTAAAATCGGACGAAAATATATATAGGAGGTGTACACATCATACCAGACTTAATTCAATACGCTATGCTAAAATTCGTGCAAATCGAATGATTTTCAGAGACTTTGGTGCACCATTTACCTAAAATCGGACGAAACTATGTATGGAAGCTATATCTAAATCTGAACCGATTTTCAAGAAACTTAGCACACATCATTTTAGACTTAATTTAGTACGCTATACCAAAATTCACGCCAATCAAAAGATTAGCAGGGACTTTGGTGCTCCATTTACCTAAAATCGGACGAAACTATATATGGAAGCTATATCTAAATCCGAACCGATTTTCTCGAAACTTAGCACACGTCATTCTAGACGTAATTCAATACGCTATGCCAAAATTCGTGCAAACCAAATGATTTGCCGGGACTTTGGTGCACCATTTACCTTAAATCGAGCGAAATTATATATGGGAGCTATATCTAAATCAGAACCGATTTTCAGGAAACTTAGCACACATCATTCTAGACCTAATTAAGTAGGCTATACCTAATTTCATGCAAATTGAAAGATATATAGTGACTTTGTTACACTGTTTACCTGAAATCGGACGAAAATATATATGGGAGCTATATCTAAATCTGAATCGATTTTCACGAAACTTAGCACACATCATTCTAGACTTAATTCAGTAGGCTATACCAAATTTCGTGCAAACCGAAAGATATATAGGGACTTTGGTACCCCATTTACCTAAAATCGGGGGAAACTATATATGGGAGCTATATCTAAATCTGAACCGAAACTTGGCACACATCATTCTAGACCTAATTCAGAAGGCTGTACCAAATTTCGTGCAAATCGAAAGATATTTAAGGACTTTGCTACCCCATTTACTTTAAATCGGACGAAAATATATATGAGCTGTGCCAAATTACATCCAATTCGGATCATAAATGCGATCTGTACTTTGTTTATAATTTAACATGGAGAAACAGACAGACGGACATGCATAAATCGTCTCAGAAAGTGATTCTATACATATTCTCAAAAGGAACCATGGGTCTATCTCGATTATTTTAAATAGAGTATAGAATGAATTGAATTTATGGATGTTAAAATAGAAGATTAAAATAAGAATCCTGGGAACCCGCTCGAATATACTTACGGTGATGTAGGATATATCATAATATCGCATCTTTCTGACCTTCATCCTCTACTTACTGCATACTTTTTACTCACCATGCGTCGCTCTTCCAACAAATGATGTAGGGTATCATATAATCGACTTCGATCGATTATTGTCATTTCTTTATTAATAAAATAAACTATAATTAAAATATCAATTTAATACGTTTTTTAATAATTGAAATATGTGTAAATGAACAACTTACCGACAATAAAACAAAATTAATTATAACCCAAAAATAGAGGTGTTAATTAATTGTTCTCTTAATGATGGGTTGTTTGTGATTGTTATTTGAATTTCAAGCGATGGAATAATGTGAAAATATTTCCCTTTTCGGAAATCCTTCCCTTTCCCATTGTGTTGTTCGTCGTCAATTCTTTTTAACACGTTTGTTATTAACACTTGAGGCCCAGTATCAAAACGGAAGTGTTACTGGAGGAAGTGCGGGGTGGGGGGCAATCCATTGCACTAGCCGTAGTACATCCGTCAACCATCATCAAATGAAACAACCAACTAAAGTTGTTAAGTTGTCATTTAACTGTACTTTGAGCGACACAATTACATGTCAACAACACGCGTACACAGGCAGTCAGGCAGGCAGGCACTTCATCAACAAAAAAATCCCATACTGGATGGTGTTTACAATACACACATATTGTTCGTATGTATATTCATATGTAGAGTGGGAGATTACTGTGGACTAAAACACAAAAGGAAACACTGTTATATTTTGTTTTTCATTTTTTTCTCATCCATGCCTGACTGGTAGACCAGAATGGCCAGGACACTTTATCATATAAACATGCCACAACGAGTACAACCGGAAACAACAACACTCTGTTTGTAACGGGCTTACGCGGACGACGTGTTTATAAAAAAAGCCGCACGCATACTTGTCTACCGCGCCACGCATACAGTCACACATCGAGATCGAGTGTGTGACTCGTAGCCAGACCACGGTTACAAGAAACATTAAGTAAACTTACGTTTCATATCCGTTTTTTATTTGGTTTTCGTGCAATCTTTACGCCTTTTGTTTTGCACCGCGCTGCTTGACATCAGTCACACTAAGAGGAGGTGGTACCATCAGCATCCTTTGCCCAAGGAGGCAATCTGTCTGAACCTAGACTTGGTTGGTTGGGTTGATGTATTAAACAAAAAAGAAAAAAAAAAAAACTATAATCGCAGTGAAAAGAAGTAACAGTTACTTTTCAACATCATGGTTGATATTAAATCTACTTCGAACGCCGTATGGTGGATAAAAAATCCGTCACAACACAAACGTCGCCACGAGTCGTTGGGTAGCAAATTCAGCAAGGATATGACAGATTTATTTAGCAATATATCTTTGCATGCTTACAATAAATTTGTCGATTCGGGATTATTTTCATATGAGAAGTAAGTATACAATTTTAAATGCAGCTGGTGAATGATATGGGTGATTCCATATAATAATTAAGAAGTAAAATAAAAACGATGTTAAGTTCTGCCCGGATGACAATCAAAATATCTAAAGTTAATGGGGGGCTCCTTTGGTACATCTTTTACATTAAATCGGACAAAAATATATATGGAAGCAATATCAAAATCTGAACTGATTTTCGCGAAACTTAACACACATCATTCCAGACCTAATTCAATACGCTGTGCCAAATTTCGTGCAAATAGAAATATATATAGGGACTTTGGTGCTTCTTTAACATTAAATGGGACGAAAATATATATGGGAGCTATATCTAAATCTGGACCAATTTTCACGAAACTTAACTCACATCATTCCAGACCTAATTCATTACGCTCTGCCAAATGTCGTGCAAATCGAAAGACATATAGGGACTTTGGTGCACCATTTACATTAAATCGGACGAAAATATATATGGGAGCTATATCTAAATCTGAACCGATTTTCACGAAGATTAACACACATCATTCTAGGCTTAATTCATTACGCTATGCCAAATTTCGTGCAAATCTAAAGATATAAAGGGACTTTGGTGCACCTTTTACATAAAATCGGAAGAAAAGATATATATCTAAATCTTAACCGATTTTCACGAAACTTAACACACATCATTCCAGACCTAGTTCAATACGCTGTGCGAAATTTCGTGCAAATCGAATTATATATTGGTACTTTGGTGCACCATTTACATTAAATCGGACGAAAATATACATGGGAGCTATATCTAAATTTGAACCGATTTTCACGAAACTTAACACACATCATTTCAGACCTAATTCAATACGCTGTGCCAAATTTCGTGCAAATCGAAAGATATATAGGTACTTTGGTGCACCATTTACATTAAATCGAAGGAAAATATATATGGGAGCTATATCAAAATCTGAACCGATTTTAACGAAACATGACACACGTCATTCTAGACCTAATTCAAAACGCTGTACCAAATTTCGTGCAAATCGGAAGATATATAGGGACTATGGTGCACCATTTACATTAAATCGAACGAAAATATATATGGGAGCTATATCTTAATCTGAACCGATTTTTCTCAATTTTAATAGCGTTCGTCCTTGGGTCAAATAAATGAGCTGTGCCAAATCGAATGATACATACGACCTGTACTTTGTTTACAATTTAACATCAACAGACGGACGGACGGACATGCATAAATCGACTTAGAAAGTGATTCTATGCATATACTCAAAAGGAACCATGGGTCTATTTCGATTACTTTTGCTAGTCACAAACATATGCACATAATGCTCTGTATCTCAGTGTGGTGAAGGGTACAAAAATGTGTTATACAATGAGAATTGAAAATGTAAAATTACAGATAATTTGGTTGGAAAACGTGTCCAAAATCCCCAAAATACCGGGTGTGCTATGGAAAGAGGCAGGCGTAATAAATCAGACAATTACGCTCAATTTGGCTGCGGATTTAGGGTTAACTATTCCCCTGATAACTCGTCTCCAGACTCACTCTAGCAGATGAACGAATCGCTATAATCCGTATAAAAGCGAAGTTTTTCTACATCAGTCTCATTTGCGCCCATGCTCCGACGGAAGACAAAGATGTGCAGACCAAATTCATTTTTTACGAGCGTCTAGAAACAGCCTATGATCGCTGCCCTGGCAATGTCATTAAAATTTTGCTATAATTTTGGCTCCACCGTCGGAAAATTCAGCCTCCATGAAGCAACATCCGACAAAGGCATGAGGTTAATTGATTTTGCAGTAGCAAAAACATTGTAATTAGCAGCACCAGATTCAAGCATCTTGATGTATACAAGGCCACTATCAAACAACGAGATATCAAATTGATCATGTTGTGATAGACGGAAGGTATTCATCCAGTGTTTTAGACGTTCGATCGCTACGAGGAGCGAATATCAATTTGGACCAATACCTTGTAGCAGCCAAGGTTCATACTCGTCCTAATGTAGCAGCAACGCTGCGGTCTAATGTAACACGGAAACTCGAAGTCGAAAAGCTGCAAACACAACAGGTAGCAGAAGGCTACTCCGCTCAACTTGCTTGACGAAAACACTCCTTGTCCTGATAAGCACTCCACTCCCTACAAACTGCAGTAAAAGCAACACTTGGGTACCAAAAACCACCATCAAGAAACCAACGCAGCGTATAGGGCAACTCTGCAGACAGTAGCAACACGTAATGCGATGGAGAATTATCGGGAGGAAGAACAAGACGTTCATTCTGACTGTACATAAGTCAGAATGAAATCTGGAAATTTTACCAACGAGTAAAACACCAAACTGAAGGCTTTGTTGCAGGCATATCTTCCTGTAGAGGTGACTGATATAGATAGCGTGTTGAGAATCTGGAAGGATATCAAATAGTGGCGGTGAAGAAGATACCCTAGAACCAATAAGAGGTCAGAATGAGGTCAGAATAACAATTAATCGGCTGAAGAATATTAAAGCACCACCTGAACTATTCAAAACCGGTGGTCAGATGCTCGTCAGGAACATGCACCAGCTGATTAGTACAATTTGGCTAGGTGAATAAGTATCCTTTCCATCGCATATAAAGTGTTATCTAGCGTGTAAACGACTGAAGCCAATGGTTAATGACATTATTGGATCATACCAATACGGCTTCAGACCTGGCAAATCCACCATAGACCAGATTTTCACTCTACGCCAAATCCTGGAAAAGATCCACGAAAAATACATCGACACATTACTCTTATACGTCAACTATAAAGCCACATACGACAGCCCCATCCGTTCAGAAGTGTTTAAAGCCATGCCTGCGTTTGCCACCCCTGCAAAATTAATACGGCTATGTAATAACTGGCAGTTTAAGTCGTAAAGGACCTATCGGAGCCCTTTAATATCGATCGTAGACTCAGAGAAGGTGACAGTTTGTCGTATCATCGTTTTAACATCCTGCTGGAAAAAGGTCATATGAGGGTGGTTAGAAATGGCACTCTGTACACGGACGACATCGACATAATGGGTCGAACATGCGAGCAGTAACAGCCACCTTTGAGCGAATTGAGAAGGAGTCTGCCAAATGGCGAGAAGACCAAACTGATTGTATCACGAACATGTAATTGTTCGGGATACAATCAGTTTGATGATATTCAGTTTCGTGATATGAGAAGTAGGAACAAGGTCCTCAAGTCGCTAGCCGGCAGCACTTGGGGCGCTGACAAAGAAACCTTGTTGACCTCTTATAAAGCAATAGGCCGTTCAGTGGTAAGCTATGCGGCGACAGTGTGGTTCGCGAATGTCAGTGATACGCAGTGGAAAAATATTCAGACCTGCCAGAACGCTGCCCTGAGAACTGCAACAGGGTGTCTCCTTATGACTCCAGTGGACCATCTTCATGAGGAGACGAAGATCTTACCCATCCATCGTCACAACTATATGTTGTCGATGCAGTACCTGCTTGGGTGTTATCGTCAGGAACATCCCTGCCATAGCCTTATGGACAGGACTCCCCCACCCAGGCTCGTCAGGAAAGATCTTCATGATCTAGAGAGAGAGGTCCAAAGGTACAAGCGTGAACCTCTAGATGAAGAAGCCTATCAAGCAGGTCTGAATGGTATTCACACGGATGCAGTCGCTCTGGCAGTAGAGCAATATAGAGTGAATACCATAATTGGAGACAACCCCCCATCCATCGCAGCTGAGGAGAAGCAGCTGCCAAGGCAAACACGAGTAGGCTTAGCTCAATTGGGCAAGAATTGACGGCTCGATACCTAACACATGCCCGGCATGTGGACTAGGGCCACACGACACGTTGCACCTTTTCAATTGCCCAGCTAAGCCTACTCACCTATCGCCGAATTCACTTTGGACGGAACCCGCTGAAGTTGCAGCATTCCTGAATTTGGTGGTAGAAGATGCAGAACCAGACGATGCATGACAAAACGACATGTATTCTGTTGCTACAACAACAACTGATTGTATCAACGCGCAAGACGTCCGGTAGACTCGGACCAACTGTGGAACTTGAAAACTATAGCTTCAAGGTAGTGAACAATTTTATATACTTCGGTACCGCCATAAACAAAACTTATAACATTGGCATTGAAATCCGAAGAAGAATAGTTCTGACCAACAAATGTTACTATGGTCTAAGTAAGCAATTTAGGAACAAAGCTACCTTTCGCCAGACCAAACTCACACTCTATAAGACACTGATACTACCCGTGCTGTTGTATGGATCTGAAGCATGGGTACTTGCGCAAACAAATGAGGCAAATGAGACTATTGGAGTAATAGTCATAGTCAGACGATCGAGCTGTAGCGACTACGTTGGCTAAGTCATGTTGTGAGATTGGAGTAGCTTCGTGATCCATTTCATCCCATTAAGAATTAACAAAAACAATAGAGACCTTCTTTGGCCAGAATCCATGGGTGGGAAATTATTATTTCAATATGTTACAAACGTGGCACAGTAGAGGAACTTTTTCGATATTTAGGACTCTACATTTCCCAAGAAGAATTTTGGTATAAGATTTCATGTTATGACCCATATCAATTCATAATCTATTATATGTATATTTATTTAAATATGTAGTTGTGTGATCGTTCGTTTCATTCGTCTGATATTAAGACAGAAAAAGAAATTTCAGTATTAATCGACAGAGGTGTATTCAACCATAAAACGCAAAATTTTTCCATATACGTTTGTAAACAAGAATGTGTGTTTGTGTGTTCGATGAAAACCATCGATAAAGTAACGAAATGAAAACAAATGCACTGTTTTTATAACAGTTAAACACTTTGGATTTTTTTAATATTTCTCCCTGTGTGTCTCGACATTCAATTGCATCCGATATTTATAGAAATCGTTTTTCTCGTCTTCTTTTCCAGATTCATTTGGCTGTGTGTCCATGTCACCATTCTTTGTTTTATGTGCGTCGCATTGACATACACTTGGGATCAATTTGTCCTTCAACATTTTTCCATCAATTTGTATGACCCATTGTATCCAGTGCAGAATGTTCCGTTTCCGGCTGTATCAATCTGTTCGAATAATCGCATTTCACACAAGGCGGCTCTGCAATATGCCCAGGAATTGTAAGTTATTATACATTTTTTAATGAAATAAACCAAAAAAGAACTTAAATTTGGGGGAATTTAATATTTTAGTTGGTTTCGAAATTATTTTGTTTCAAAAGTTATTTTGTATTCTATTTTTTTTGTATTTTCAGATCCAAGGTGGATCCTTATAATCGTTCGGTGGATTTTTTCATGAAACGCATCGCCTACTTTAATAGTTTTTATTTTAGACACGACAAATTGGAGAGTCATTTGGATTACAGAGAATTTCAGAAATTTCTGGATCACTATGGAACGGACGACAATGAAACATTTTATAATATGCTGAAGATAATGCAAAGGGTAATGTATGTAAATACTTACTAACTTAGCTGGCTTGTGACAGAACATTTGTTCCATATGCCGAGCTTAAAACAGATTTCCAGGCGCGCCGGTCTTGTGCACAGATCTTGCAATTGGAAGGACCATGTTCCGAAATTTTGTCTTCTACATGATCTTTCATCACTTGGCTCGCTTTATATGCATTTTGATTGGGGAAATCCTCATCCATTCTCACAACATGACCTAGCTAACTTGGCCGCTGCAGCTCAATCCGTCTGACTACGATGGCAGTTTGGAAAGTTCTTAGCCTAGCACAAAAGCACGGTATAAACAGAGAAGTTAAGTGTTTTGGAAACTTCCATCTCTGCTATGAACATGTTAAAATTTATTTCGATCTGGCGCATCCGCAATTTTTTTACAATGAAAGCACGCATTTCTAATTTTTTCCATTGTAAAAAATTGTGGATGCTTCTTTTTTGAACACCTGTTTCTATATGAAGGAGTTGCCAGATCGAAACAAAATTTAAGATTTGTTCATACCAGAGATGGAAGTTTCCAAAACACTTAACTTTTTTCTGTTTATACTACGCTTTTGTACTAGGCTAAGAACTTTCCGTACTGCCCTCGCATGTCGATGTCCGAGAATAGTTTGTATAGCTCATGGTTTATTCGACGACGATATTCACCGTCGACGCAGATCGGTCCATAGATCTTTCGGAGAATTTTTCTCTCAAACACTCCAAGAGCTGTCTTATTTGCAGCGTTTTGTAGGGAGTGAGTTTGGTCTGGCGAGAGGTGGCCTTGCTTTTGAGTTGCAAGTTGCAGTTGAGTAGTAGCATCTGTTGGCCAACCCTATTCTCCTCCGGATTTCAAAGCTGATGTTATTAGTTTGATTTATAGCGTTTTCTCGCCATTTACTGCTAGTCCCACAAAGGAGGATGTTACCGCTCGCAATGTTCGACCCATTATGTCGATGTCGTCGGCGTAGACGAGTAACACGTATTGTTTGGTGTACCGAGTGTTATTTCTGTTCACCGTTGCGTCTCGTATGCCCATCCTGCTGGAAGGATGTTAAAAAGGTCACACAACAAACAGTCACCTTGTCTGAATGCTCGTTAGGTATTAAAGGGCTCCGAGAGGGGTGGATTTGCCAGGTCTGAAGCCGTATGGTGTGGTATTGTCTAATGTCATTGACCATTGGCTTCAATCGTTTACACAGCACACTGGATAGCACTTTATATACGACAGGAAGAAGGCTAATTCCTCTATAGTTGGCACATATCGTCTTGTCTCATTTTTTGTTCACGGGGGACCCGATGCTGAGGTTCGAATCATCGGGCATGCATTCCTCTAGCCAAATTGTACTAATCAGCTGGTACATGCTCCTGACCAGCATCTGACCACCAGTCTTGAATAGGTCGGCTGGTAACCCATCGGCTCCTGCTGCTTTATTGTTCTTGAGCCGATTAATTGCTTTTATGACCTCATCTTGGCTATTGGTTTTGGGGTATCTTCCTCACCGCCACTATTTGATAACAGAAGCTTTAAAAATGTTCCTTCCAGATCCTCAACACGCTTTCAGTATTTGTCACCAGGTTTCCTTCTTCATCTCCACAGGAGGATGTGCCTGCACCAAAGCCTTAGATTTGGTGTTTTACTCTTTATACCCAAGTGTTGCTTTTGCTGCAGTATGTAGGGAGTGGGCAATTCTTTGTGCTTCTATACTATTATCGGGACAATAAGTGCTTTCGCCAAGCAGGTGGGTAAGTTGAGCGGAGTAGGCCTCGGCTACCTGTTGTGTTTGCAGCATTTCGACGTCGAGTTGTGTTAGATCGCACCTTTGCTGCAACATTAAGACGAGTGCGAACATTGGCTGCTACAAGGTAGTGGTCCGAATCGATATTCGCTCCTCGGATCGATCGAACGTCTAATACACTGGATGAATGCCTTCCGTTTATCGCAACAAGATCAATTTGATTTCTCGTTGCTTGATCAGGAGACATCCAGGTGGCCTTGTGTATATCGAGATGCTTGAATCTGGTGCTGCTAACTACCATGTTTTTTGCTGCCGCGAAGTCAATCAACCTCATGCCGTTGTTGGATGTTTCTTCATGAAGGCTGAATTTTCCGACGGGTGGGCCAAATATATTTTCCCTTCCGATTTTTGCATTAAAATCTCCTAGCAGAATTAGAATGTCATGGCCAGGGCAGCGATCATATGCTGTTTGGTGTGCTCATCTTTGTATTCGGTCGGAACACGGGCGCAAATAATACTGATGTAGAACAACTTCGCTTTAATACGGATTATAGCAATTCGCTCATCTACTGGAGTGAATCTGAAGACGATGTGTTTTATTCTCCTGTTAACCATAAATCCGCAGCTAAATTCATGTCTCGTTTCATGGCGGCTACAATACAGTGCGATTTACTTTCGCCTGTCCTGTTCCATCGCATTCCCTGTAAGGCAATAATACCGGCTTTGTATTTCTTGAGTACATCCGCCAAAGCGAAAACTGCGTCTGTTCTGTACAAGGTGCGCACATTCCAAGTGCAGATTCGCAGATCGTGGTCCTTTATACATTTGCGGGTGGTTGTCAACATTAGGTCGGTTGGTTTTCATTTTCTTTGCTTTTTCATAGTCGGTTGGGTTTTTCGAGAGTGGGCAACTAACCCGACACCTCAACCCATTTTTTTATAGTTCTTATGGGTGAACTCGCGACAGTGCCCACAATTGAGATGAAAGAGGGACCAAGATAAGCCTGAACATCGCCATGTTAAAGCCAATTAGAGCCGTTGATTGGTATCTATCAACCCCTACGCCACCCCATCAGACTTCGTAGGGTATCATATAATCGACTTTACTTGAGTTCGATTCCTTACAAGTTTCATTTTTATTTGTTTTCTGATATCGTTATCATGGGAAAATATAATTCTTAAAAAGTGATTGTATTGGAATTATACGTGGACTATTTAAGCTGGAATCATATGTTCTTATGGAGAGTAAATCGATCCGCAAGATCCTTCTATATCTACTATTGCAACAATATCAGTAATTATGCAATTTTCCGATTTCCGAATTTACAGCTTACACCGAAATGTGAAGATTTCATATTGGCCTGTATGTTGGGCGCCAAAAGAGTTAATTGCTTTGAAGAGCAGACATTTCAGACCCAATTGACACAGTATGGACCTTGTTGCATGTTCAACTCAAATGATAGGTAACCAAATAAGTAAATTTTTGTTACATCTCCTAAAAAATAAATAAAAACTTTTTTTAAATAGTTACAGAAAACGTACATATCGCACACGATTCTCCGGCTCTGGCATGGGCCTGATTGTCGTCTTGAACACAAGCCATGCTGATGATATGGCCAGTCTATTGAATATGGATGGCTATGCTGTTATTGTACACTCACCAAATCGATTTCCGGAAATATCTTCGGGTAGTAGTTTGGAAGTATTCCCCATTATCAACGAAGAGACTTTTATTGGTTTGAAGGCACGTGTTTTGGATAGTAGTGATGATTTGAGATCATTTGCGGCATCGCATGTAAGTAAAGGAGAAGGGAATTTTAAGGATATTTTTTTAAATATTATGTTTTGATATTTTAGCGCAAATGTTATTTCGATGATGAAGTGCCGCTGAATTATAATAATAAATATTCAATGCAAAATTGCATTACACGTTGCCGAGCGCGTAGCATAATGGCTCTATGTAATTGTATACCATTCTATACGCCATTGTCGTTAGTGGATGATATGAATGGGGTGCCATTTTGTACCCTGGGTAATATTGAGTGTATGCAGCAGTATAAATGTAAGTTAGACAATTTTTTCTAAAATTATTTCGCAAGTAAAGATATTTGGATACACTCGTATTGCAAATTAAAATGGGGGTGTATACGTTTTGACAACAATCATACGCCTATGGTTGCAATCTTGTAAACATATGGGAGCGTATACGTTACGACAATGATTATACGCATATGGCCTCTATAATGGAAATAGCAAGGAATTTGTTCTGAATATAGCTCTTAATTTAATTGTTCATTTCAATCTAAACTAAATCCCAATTACCAATTTTCCGATTTTTAAACCCCCCACTCCTCTGAATTAACTTCCCCACTTGTGAAAACCCTTCACATTTTAACCCCTTCTTTTTTCTCTTATAGTCAAATGGCGTAATGCTTTAACGGAACACATTAAAATTCTCGGTTTGGAACGGGGTGTTCCAATCCAATCATACGCCTATGGTTGCAATCTTGTAAACATAAGGGAGCGTATACTTTACGTCAATTATTATACGCATATGGTCTCTATAATGGAAATAACAAGGAATTGGTTCTGAATATAGCCCTTGATTTAATTGTTCATTGTAATCACTACTAATTCCCAATTATCAATATTCCGATTTTCAAATTCCCCACTCCTCTGAAAAGAAATTCCCACTTGTGAAAACCCTTCACATTTTAACTCCCTCTTCTTTCTCTTATAGTCAAATGGCGTAATGTTTTAACAGAACACATTAGCCTTGAAGTCTGTATGTCCTTAAAGAAATATTCTTTAAAAATCCACGCCTTGAAGTCTGTATGTCCTTAAAGAAATATTCTTTAAAAATCCACGCCTTGAAGTCTGTATGTCCTTAAAGAAATATTCTTTAAAAATCCACGCCTTGAAGTCTGTATGTCCTTAAAGAAATATTCTTTAAAAATCCACGCCTTGAAGTCTGTATGTCCTTAAAGAAATATTCTTTAAAAATCCACGCCTTGAAGTCTGTATGTCCTTAAAGAAATATTCTTTAAAAATCCACGCCTTGAAGTCTGTATGTCCTTAAAGAAATATTCTTTAAAAATCCACGCCTTGAAGTCTGTATGTCCTTAAAGAAATATTCTTTAAAACTCCGCGCCTATAATGATAGTCCTTGAAGAAAATTTATTTTAAAATCCACGCCTATATCTCTGATAGTCCTTAAAGAAATATTCTTTAAAAATCCACGCCTTGAAGTCTGTATGTCCTTAAAGAAATATTCTTTAAAAATCCACGCCTTGAAGTCCGTATGTCCTTAAAGAAATATTCTTTAAAAATCCACGCCTTGAAGTCTGTATGTCCTTAAAGAAATATTCTTTAAAAATCCATGCCTTGAAGTCCGTATGTCCTTAAAGAAATATTCTTTAAAAATCCACGCCTTGAAGTCCGTATGTCCTTAAAGAAATATACTCTTTAAAAATCCACGCCTTGAAGTCCGTATGTCCTTAAAGAAATATTCTTTAAAAATCCACGCCTTGAAGTCCGTATGTCCTTAAAGAAATATTCTTTAAAAATCCACGCCTTGAAGTCCGTATGTCCTTAAAGAAATATTCTTTAAAAATCCACGCCTTGAAGTCCGTATGTCCTTAAAGAAATATTCTTTAAAAATCCACGCCTTGAAGTCCGTTGTCCTTAAAGAAATATTCTTTAAAAATCCACGCCTTGAAGTCCGTATGTCCTTAAAGAAATATACTTTAAAAATCCACGCCTTGAAGTCCGTATGTCCTTAAAGAAATATTCTTTAAAAATCCACGCCTTGAAGTCCGTATGTCCTTAAAGAAATTACTTACTTACTTACTTAGCTGGCTTGTTACAGAACGGTTGTTCCATAAGCCGAGCTTAAAAAAGATTTCCAAGCGCGCCGGTCTTGTGCGCAAGTCCACCAATTGGGAAGACCACGTTCCAAGATGTTGTTTTCTACTTGGTCTTTCCATCTAATTCGTGGCCTTCCCCTTCTACGGGAACCATCCGTAGGCTCATTTTTATATGCCTTTTGAGCTGGGGCTTCTTCATTCATCCGCACAACATGGCCTAGCCACCGTAGTCGCTGCAGCTCAATACGACTGACTATGTCGATGTCTGCGTATAAATTGTAGAGCTCGTGGTTCATTCGACGCCGATATTCACCGTCGACGCAGATCGGCCCGTAGATCTTTCGGAGAATTTTTCTCTCAAACACCCCAAGCGCTGCCTCATCTGCTTGCGCAAGTACCCATGCTTCTGATCCATATAATAGCACGGGTAGTATCAGCGTCTTGTAAAGTGTGAGTTTGGTCTGGCGAGAGGTGGCCTTGTTTCTAAACTGCTTACTTAGACCATAGTAGCATCTGTTGGCCATCACAATCCTTCTCCGAATTTCAAAACTGATATCATTCGTTTTATTTATGGCGGTACCAAGGTATATAAAGTCTTTAACTACCTCGAAGCTGTAGTTCTCAAGTTCCACAGTTGGTCCGAGTCTACTGGACGTCTTGCGCGTTGATACCATCAGCTTGGTCTTCTCGCCGTTTACTGCCAGACCCACTTTGGCAGACTCCTTTTCAATTTGTTCAAAGGTGGCTGTTACCGCTCGCAATGTTCGACCCATTATATCGATGTCATCGGCGTAGGTGAGTAACTGGTGTTGTTTGGTGTACAGAGTGCCATTTCTGTTCACCTTTGCGTTTCGTATGACCTTTTCCAGTAGGATGTTAAAAAGATCACACGACAAACTGTCACCTTGTCTGAATCCTCGTTCGGTAGTGAAGGGCTCCGATAGGTCCTTTCCTACTTTAACGGCCACTTGTGCCACTTAAAGTTATCCTGCATAGCCGTATTAATTTTGCAGGAATGCCGAACGCAGACATGGCTTTAAACACCTCTGAACGGATAGGGCTGTCGAATGCGGCTTTATAGTCGACAAATAGGTGATATGTGTCGATGTGTTTTTCGTGGGTCTTTTCCAGGATTTGGCGCAGAGTGAAAATCTGGTCTATGGTCGATTTGCCAGGTCTGAAGCCGCATTGGTATGGTCCGATGATGTCATTGACCATTGGCTTCAATCGTTCACACAGCACACTGGATAGCACTTTATATGCGATGGGAAGGAGACTTATTCCTCTATAGTTGGCACATATCGTCTTGTCTCCTTTTTTGTGCACGGGACACAGGATGCTGAGGTTCCAATCATTGGGCATGCATTCATCTAGCCAAATTGTGTTAATCAGCTGGTGCATGCTCCTGACCAGCATCTGGCCACCAGTCTTGAATAGTTCGGCTGGTAACCCATCGGCTCCTGCTGCTTTGTTGTTCTTGAGCCGATTAATTGCTTTTATGACCTCATCTTGGCTAGGTGGTATACACTCTATACCATCATCTCCTATTGGTTCTGGGGTATCTTCTTCATCGCCACTATTTGATACTAGCAGCTTTTCGAAATGCTCCTTCCAGATCCTCAACACGCTGTCTGTATCTGTCACCAGGTTTCCTTCTTCATCTCTACAGGAGGATGTGCCTGCACCAAAGCCTTCGGTTTGGTGTTTTACTCGTTGGTAAAATTTCCGGACTTCATTCTGACTCCTGTACATCTCGATTTGCTCACGCTCACGTTTTTCTTGTTCTTTCTTCTTTTTTCTGAAAACACGTTTCTCCTCTCTCCTTTTCTCCCGATAATTCTCCATCACGTTACGTGTTGCTACTGTCTGCAGGGTTGCCCTATACGCTGCGTTTTTCACATCAGTAGCAATACGACACTCCTGATCGTACCATGGGTTTCTTGGTGGTGGTTTTTGGTACCCAATTGTTCTTTTTGCTGCAGTTTGTAGGGAGTGGGCAATTCTTTGCCATTGTGCTTCTATACTATTATCGGGACAAGAAGTGCTTTCTTCAAGCAGATGGGTAAGTTGAGCGGAGTAGGCCTCGGCTACCTGTTGTGTTTGCAGCTTTTCGACGTCGAGTTTCCGTGTTGTATTAGATCGCACCTTTGCTGCAACATTTAGACGGGTGCGTACCTTGGCTGCCACAAGGTAATGGTCCGAATCGATATTCGCTCCTCGGATCGATCGGACGTCTAAAACACTGGATGCATGCCTTCCGTCTATCACAACATGATCAATTTGATTTCTCGTTACTTGATCAGGAGAAATCCAGGTGGCCTTGTGTATATCGAGATGCTTGAATCTGGTGCTGCTAACTACCATGTTTTTTGCTGCCGCGAAGTCAATCAACCTCATGCCGTTATCGGATGTTTCTTCATGAAGGCTGAATTTTCCGACGGTGGGGCCAAAGATATTTTCCCTTCCGATTTTTGCATTAAAATCTCCTAGCAGAATTTTAATGTCATGGCCAGGGCAACGGTCATATGCTGTTTCTAGGCGCTCATAAAATATATCTTTGGTCTGTTCATCTTTATCTTCGGTCGGAGCATGGGCGCAAATTAGACTGATGTAAAAGAACTTCGCTTTTATACGGATTATAGCAATTCGCTCATCTACTGGAGTGAATCTGGAGACAAGGTCTTTTATTCTCCTGTTAACCATAAATCCGCAGCCAAATTCATGTCTCGTTTCATGGCAGCTATAATACAGGGCGTAATCGTCTGATTTACTTACGCCTGTCCCTTTCCATCGCATTTCCTGTAAGGCAATAATATCGGCTTTGTACTTCTTGAGTATATCCGCCAAAGCGAACACTGCCCCTGTTCTGTATAGCGTGCGCACATTCCAAGTGCAGATTCGCAGATCGTGGTCCTTTATACGTTTGCGGGGGTCGTCAACATTAGGGGGGTTTGGTTTTCTTTTTCTTTGCTTTTTCATAGTAGGTTGGGTTTTCCGAGAGTGGGCAACTAACCCGACGCCTCAACCCATTTTTTTATAGTTCTTATGGGTGAACTCGCGGCACATATTAGCTCACTATTTCATCGGGTGATGAGAATAGCTCCCCAGGTGGCACCGCGGGGAGGTCAGTGTCCACAATTGAGATGAAAGAGGGACCAAGATAAGCCTGGGCTTCGCCATGTTAAAGCTAATCAGAGCCGTTGCTTGGTATCTATCATCCCCTACGCCACCCAAAAGAAATATTCTTTAAAAATCCACGCCTTGAAGTCCGTATGTCCTTTTATAAATCCACGAAATATTCCTTTATTGTTTGAAAATCCACGCCTTGAAGTCCGTATGTCCTTGAAGAAATATTGTTTAAAAATCCACGCCTTGAAGTCCGTATGTCCTTGAAGAAATATTGAAGTCCGTATGTCCTTAAAGAAATATTCTTTAAAAATCCACGCCTTGAAGTATTCTTTAAAAATCCACGCCTTGAAGTCCGAATGTCCTTAAAGAAATATTCTTTAAAAATCCACGCCTTGAAGTCCGTATGTCCTTAAAGAAATATTCTTTAAAAATCCACGCCTTGAAGTCCGTATGTCCTTAAAGAAATATTCTTTAAAAATCCACGCCTTGAAGTCCGTATGTCCTTAAAGAAATATTCTTTAAAAATCCACGCCTTGAAGTCCGTATGTCCTTATAAAAATCCACGAAATATTCTTTAAAAATCCACGCCTTGAAGTCCGTATGTCCTTAAAGAAATATTCTTTAAAAATCCACGCCTTGAAGTCCGTATGTCCTTAAAGAAATATTCTTTAAAAATCCACGCCTTGAAGTCCGTATGTCCTTAAAGAAATATTCTTTAAAAATCCACGCCTTGAAGTCCGTATGTCCTTAAAGAAATATTCTTTAAAAATCCACGCCTTGAAGTCCGAATGTCCTTAAAGAAATATTCTTTAAAAATCCACGCCTTGAAGTCTATATGTCCTTAAAGAAATATTCTTTAAAAATCCACGCCTTGAAGTCTGTATGTCCTTAAAGAAATATTCTTTAAAAATCCACGCCTTGAAGTCTGTATGTCCTTAAAGAAATATTCTTTAAAAATCCACGCCTTGAAGTCTGTATGTCCTTAAAGAAATATTCTTTAAAAATCCACGCCTTGAAGTCTGTATGTCCTTAAAGAAATATTCTTTAAAAATCCACGCCTTGAAGTCTGTATGTCCTTAAAGAAATATTCTTTAAAAATCCACGCCTTGAAGTCCGTATGTCCTTAAAGAAATATTCTTTAAAAATCCACGCCTTGAAGTCCGTATGTCCTTAAAGAAATATTCTTTAAAAATCCACGCCTTGAAGTCCGTATGTCCTTAAAGAAATATTTTTTAAAAATCCACGCCTTGAAGTCCGTATGTCCTTAAAGAAATATTCTTTAAAAATCCACGCCTTGAAGTCCGTATGTCCTTAAAGAAATATTCTTTAAAAATCCACGCCTTGAAGTCCGTATGTCCTTGAAGAAATATTGTTTGAAAATCCACGCCTTGAAGTCCGTATGTCCTTGAAGAAATATTCTTTAAAAATCCACGCCTTGAAGTCCGTATGTCCTTGAAGAAATATTGAAGTCTGTATGTCCTTAAAGAAATATTCTTTAAAAATCCACGCCTTAAAATCCGTATGTCCTTAAAGAATATTCTTTAAAAATCCACACCTTGAAGTCCGTACGTCTTTGAAGAAATGTTGTTTAAAAATCCACGCTTAGAAGCCTGTATGCCCTTGAAGAAATGTTGTTTAAAAATCCACGCCTTGAAGTCCGTATGTCCTTAAAGAAATATTCTTTAAAAATCCACGCCTTGAAGTCCGTATGTCCTTAAAGAAATATTCTTTAAAAATCCACGACTTGAAGTCTGTATGTCCTTGAAGAAATATTCTTTAAAAATCCACGCCTTGAAGTCTGTATGTCCTTAAAGAAATATTCTTTAAAAATCCACGCCTTGAAGTCCGTATGTCCTTAAAGAAATATTCTTTAAAAATCCACGCCTTGAAGTCCGTATGTCCTTAAAGAAATATTCTTTAAAAATCCACGCCTTGAAGTCCGTATGTCCTTAAAGAAATATTCTTTAAAAATCCACGCCTTGAAGTCCGTATGTCCTTAAAGAAATATTCTTTAAAAATCCACGCCTTGAAGTCCGTATGTCCTTAAAGAAATATACTTTAAAAATCCACGCCTTGAAGTCCGTATGTCCTTAAAGAAATATTCTTTAAAAATCCACGCCTTGAAGTCCGTATGTCCTTAAAGAAATATTCTTTAAAAATCCACGCCTTGAAGTCCGTATGTCCTTGAAGAAATATTCTTTATAAATCCACGCCGTGAAGTCCGTATGTCCTTGAAGAAATATTGTTTGAAAATCCACGCCTTGAAGTCCGTATGTCCTTGAAGAAATATTGTTTAAAAATCCACGCCTTGAAGTCCGTATGTCCTTGAAGAAATATTGAAGTCCGTATGTCCTTAAAGAAATATTCTTTAAAAATCCACGCCTTGAAGTCCGTATGTCTTTGAAGAAATGTTGTTTAAAAATCCACGCCTTGAAGTCCGTATGTCTTTGAAGAAATGTTGTTTAAAAATCCACGCCTTGAAGTCCGTATGTCTTTGAAGAAATGTTGTTTAAAAATCCACGCCTTGAAGTCCGTATGTCCTTAAAGAAATATTCTTTAAAAATCCACGCCTTGAAGTCCGTATGTCCTTAAAGAAATATACTTTAAAAATCCACGCCTTGCAGTCTGTATGTCTTTGAAGAAATGTTGTTTAAAAATCCACGCCTTGAAGTCCGTATGTCCTTAAAGAAATATTCTTTAAAAATCCACGCCTTGAAGTCCGTATGTCCTTAAAGAAATATTCTTTAAAAATTCACGCCTACAAATTCAAGCCTACTTCTCTAATATTTCGTGAGGAAAATCAAAATCCATGTCCGTTAGTATTTGACCAATTATTTCCGTGAAAGTGTGCGTATAATTGTTATTATAACGTATACGTAACCATATGCTAATAGAAAATACAACACACTATTATTAAAATGAATAAAAACGATAACAAGCCTTGTTGTATATTTATTAAATATTTTGAAATGGTTATTCACAAAAATAATACAACGTACCGTAACTAATGCGGAACATAATCATTTGAAAATGTAAGCACCCCCAATTTCAAAGCAACAACGACAACAACGAGAAATGGAAATGTGTTGTCATTTAAAATCATTTTGTTGTTTTTATAGTCAAATGGCGTAATGTCCTCACCGAACTCACCAACATCAATGGGTTAGAACGTGAACGAGAGGAAGCCCTTTATTGCCTCGAATGTTTACCCTCATGTCAGGATATACGTTATAGTGTATCGGCAATGGCATTACCCGTTGATGGTTATTCATTTCAAAAAGGGATTATGTAAGTATATTGGTGGTGGATTGGGGCAGGCAGCATCAATTGGGTGTTGTTGTTGTTGCAACATCTGTCCCAAGGACATGTTATGAATAGAATTACAATTGAATATTAATAACATATGTGTATCAATAAATATATGACCTTTGGCGTGTTTTTTTCTGTTTCTGCTTCCGTTCTACATTTTCCCATTACCAATTTTTTATATTCATTTGTATTTAACCCAGTGACGGTAACTTCCAAACAAATTATTCGGATCTCTCAGTGTTGCGGGTGTTTTTCGATGAAGCAACATCGCCATATTATATGCGGGTCAGCACAAATTCGTGGGTGGAATCATCGAGTAAGTCATGAATTTAAGACATTTTTATATTTTAAAGAATATTCAGATCAGACTCCTAGGCGTGGATTTATAAAGAATATTTCTTCAAGGACCAACAGACTTTTAAGACGTGGATTTATAAGGAATATTTCTTCAAGGACCAACAGACTTTTAAGGCGTGGATTTTTAAAGAATATTTCTTCAAGGACCAACAGACTTTTAAGGCGTGGATTTTTAAAGAATATTTCTTCAAGGACCAACAGACTTTTAAGGCGTGGATTTCAAAGAATATTTCTTCAAGGACCAACAGACTTTTAAGGCGTGGATTTCAAAGAATATTTCTTCAAGGACCAACAGACTTTTAAGGCGTGGATTTCAAAGAATATTTCTTCAAGGACCAACAGGCTTTTAAGGCGTGGATTTTTAAAGAATATTTCTTCAAGGACCAACAGACTTTTAAGGCGTGGATTTTTAAAGAATATTTCTTCAAGGACCAACAGACTCCTAGGCGTTGATTTTTAAAGAATATTTCTTCAAGGACCAACAGACTCCTAGGCGTGGATTTTTAAAGAATATTTCTTCAAGGACCAACAGACTCCTAGGCGTGGATTTTTAAAGAATATTTCTTGGAGGACCAACAGACTCCTAGGCGTGGATTTTTAAAGAATATTTCTTCAAGGACCAACAGACTTTTAAGGCGTGGATTTTTAAAGAATATTTCTTCAAGGACCAACAGATTCCTAGGCGTGGATTTTTAAATAATATTTCTTCAAGGACCAACAGATTCCTAGGCGTGGATTTTTAAAGAATATTTCTTCAAGGACCAACAGACTTTTAAGGCGTGGATTTTAAAGAATATTTCTTCAAGGACCAACAGACTTTTAAGGCGTGGATTTTAAAGAATATTTCTTCAAGGACCAACAGACTTTTAAGGCGTGGATTTTAAAGAATATTTCTTCAAGGATTTTTAAAGAATATTTCTTCAAGGACCAACAGACTTTTAAGGCGTGGATTTTAAAGTATATTTCTTCAAGGATTTTTAAAGAATATTTCTTCAAGGACCAACAGACTTTTAAGGCGTGGATTTTTAAAGAATATTTCTTCAAAGACTAAGAGACTCCTAGACGTGGATTTTAAAATAATATTTCTTCTAGGACAAACAGAGTCCTAGGCGTGGATTTTAAAAGAATATTTCTTCAAGGACAAACAGACTCCAAGGCGTGGATTTTTTAAGGAATATTTTTTCAAGGACAAACAGACTCCTAGGCGTGGATTTTTAAAGAATTTTTCTTCAAGGCCTTAGACAAGGCGTGGATTTTTTAAAGAATTTTTCTTCAAGGCCTTAGACAAGGCGTGGATTTTTTAAAGAATTTTTCTTCAAGGACCAACAAACTTCTAGGCGTGGATTAAAGAATTTTTTTTTAAAGAATTTTTCTTCAAGGACCAACAAACATCTAGGCGTGGATTAAATAATTTTTTTTTAAAGAATTTTTCTTCAAGGACCAACAAACTTCTAGGCGTGGATTAAAGAATTTTTTTTTAAAGAATTTTTCTTCAAGGACCAACAAACTTCTAGGCGTGGATTTTTAAAGAATTTTTCTTGAAGGACCAACAAAGTTCTAGGCGTGGATTAAAGAATTTTTCTTCAAGGACCAACAAACTTCTAGGCGTGGATTAAAGAATTTTTTTTTTAAAGAATTTTTCTTCAAGGACCAACAAACTTCTAGGCGTGGATTTTTAAAGAATTTTTCTTTAAGGACCAACAAACTTCTAGGCGTGGATTAAAGAATTTTTTTAAAGAATTTTTCTTCAAGGACCAACAAACTTCTAGGCGTGGATTTTTAAAGAATTTTTCTTCAAGGACCAACAAACTTCTAGGCGTGGATTTTTAAAGAATTTTTCTTCAAGGACCAACAAACTTCTAGGCGTGGATTTTTAAAGAATATTTCTTCAAGGACCAACAAACTTCTAGGCGTGGATTTTTAAAGAATTTTTCTTCAAGGACCAACAAACTTCTAGGCGTGGATTTTTAAAGAATTTTTCTTCAAGGACCAACAAACTTCTAGGCGTGGATTTTTAAAGAATATTTCTTCAAGGACTGTCAGACTTCTAAGGCGTGGATTTTTAAAGAATATTTCTTCAAGGACTGTCAGACTTCTAAGGCGTGGATTTTTAAAGAATATTTCTTCAAGGACTGTCAGACTTCTAAGGCGTGGATTTTTAAAGAATATTTCTTCAAGGACTGTCAGACTTCTAAGGCGTGGATTTTTAAAGAATATTTCTTCAAGGACTGTCAGACTTCTAAGGCGTGGATTTTTAAAGAATATTTCTTCAAGGACTGTCAGACTTCTAAGGCGTGGATTTTTAAAGAATATTTCTTCAAGGACTGTCAGACTTCTAAGGCGTGGATTTTTAAAGAATATTTCTTCAAGGACTGTCAGACTTCTAAGGCGTGGATTTTTAAAGAATATTTCTTCAAGGACTGTCAGACTTCTAAGGCGTGGATTTTTAAAGAATATTTCTTCAAGGACTGTCAGACTTCTAAGGCGTGGATTTTTAAAGAATATTTCTTCAAGGACTGTCAGACTTCTAAGGCGTGGATTTTTAAAGAATATTTCTTCAAGGACTGTCAGACTTCTAAGGCGTGGATTTTTAAAGAATATTTCTTCAAGGACTGTCAGACTTCTAAGGCGTGGATTTTTAAAGAATATTTCTTCAAGGACTGTCAGACTTCTAAGGCGTGGATTTTTAAAGAATATTTCTTCAAGGACTGTCAGACTTCTAAGGCGTGGATTTTTAAAGAATATTTCTACAAGGTCTGTCAGACTTCTAAGGCGTGGATTTTTAAAGAATATTTCTTCAAGGTCTGTCAGGCTTCTAAGTCGTGGATTTTTAAAGAATATTTCTTCAAGGACTGTCAGACTTCTAAGGCGTGGATTTTTAAAGAATACTTCTTCAAGGACTGTCAGACTTCTAAGGCGTGGATTTTTAAAGAATATTTCTTCAAGGTCTGTCAGACTTCTAAGGCGTGGATTTTTAAAGAATATTTCTTCAAGGACTGTCAGACTTCTAAGGCGTGGATTTTTAAAGAATATTTCTTCAAGGACTGTCAGACTACTAAGGAGTGAATTTTTAAAGAATATATCTTCAAGGACCATCTGGCCAATAGGCGTGGATTTTTAAAGAATATTTCTTCAAGGACTGTCAGACTTCTAAGGCGTGGATTTTTAAAGACTATTTCTTCAAGGACTGTCAGACTTCTAAGGCGTGGATTTTTAAAGACTATTTCTTCAAGGACCAACACAAGGCGTGGATTTTTTAAAGACTATTTCTTCAAGGACTGTCAGACTTCTAAGGCGTGGATTTTTAAAGAATATTTCTTCAAGGACTGTCAGACTTCTAAGGCGTGGATTTTTAAAGAATATTTCTTCAAGGACTGTCAGACTTCTAAGGCGTGGATTTTTAAAGAATATTTCTTCAAGGACTGTCAGACTTCTAAGGCGTGGATTTTTAAAGAATATTTCTTCAAGGACTGTCAGACTTCTAAGGCGTGGATTTTTAAAGAATATTTCTTCAAGGACTGTCAGACTTCTAAGGCGTGGATTTTTAAAGAATATTTCTTCAAGGACTGTCAGACTTCTAAGGCGTGGATTTTTAAAGAATATTTCTTCAAGGACTGTCAGACTTCTAAGGCGTGGATTTTTAAAGAATATTTCTTCAAGGACTGTCAGACTTCTAAGGCGTGGATTTTTAAAGAATATTTCTTCAAGGACTGTCAGACTTCTAAGGCGTGGATTTTTAAAGAATATTTCTTCAAGGACTGTCAGACTTCTAAGGCGTGGATTTTTAAAGAATATTTCTTCAAGGACTGTCAGACTTCTAAGGCGTGGATTTTTAAAGAATATTTCTTCAAGGACTGTCAGACTTCTAAGGCGTGGATTTTTAAAGAATATTTCTTCAAGGACTGTCAGACTTCTAAGGCGTGGATTTTTAAAGAATATTTCTTCAAGGACTGTCAGACTTCTAAGGCGTGGATTTTTAAAGAATATTTCTTCAAGGACTGTCAGACTTCTAAGGCGTGGATTTTAAAGTACATTTCTTCAAGGACTAAGAGACTCCTAGACGTGGATTTTAAGAGAATATTTCTTCAAGGACCAACAGACTTCTAGGCGTGGATTTTTAAAGAATATTTCTTCAAGGACAAACAGACTCCTAGGCGTGGATTTTTAAAGAATATTTCTTCAAGGACAAACAGACTCCTAGGCGTGGATTTTTAAAGATTTTTTCTTCAAGGACCAACAAACTTCTAGGCGTGGATTTTTAAAGAATTTTTCTTCAAGGATCAACTAACTTCTAGCCGTGGATTTTTAAAGAATTTTTCTTCAAGGACCAACAAACTTCTAGGCGTGGATTTTTAAAGAATTTTTTTCAAGGACCAACAAACTTCTAGGCGTGGATTTTTAAAGAATTTTTCTTCAAGGACCAACAGACTCCTAGACGTGGATTTTTAAAGAATATTTCTCCAAGGACCAACAACGTGGATTTTTAAAGAATATTTCTTCAAGGACCAACAGACTCCTAGACGTGGATTTTTAAAGAATATTTCTCCAAGGACCAACAACGTGGATTTTTAAAGAATATTTCTTCAAGGACCGACAGACCTCTAGGAGTGGGTTTTTAAAGAATATATCTAGGCGTGGATTTTTAAAGAATTTTTCTTCAAGGACCAAAAAACTTCTAGGCTTGGATTTTTAAAGAATTTTTCTTCGAGGACCAACAAACTTCTAAGGCGTGGATTTTTAAATAATTTTTCTTCAAGGACCAACTGACTTCTGTTGTTTTATTTTAAATTCTTTGAAAAAAATATATGAAATAATATATTTTTTTAAATTTTCCCTACAGGTACAGTGGGCAACATTGTATCGATCTGCATGGGTTTTTCGATGGTGGCAATATTGGAAATATTTTATTTCATTGTTAAGTATTTGATTATAGCTTTTAAGAAGTACATTTCACAAACTACAAAACCAAAGAAATGGAAGCGGGCTTCACGTTTATTCAAGCCGAATGAGCCACTATATATTTGTCCTTAAATCATTTCTTATATATTTATGCAATATCTTATTAATTAAATTATATCCTTGTTATGCACAATTATTAAAATAAAGGCAAAAATTGTAGTTAGCACAAAATTAATGTTTTTTTCAATAAATTTTCAAAAGGTAAGTGCTAAGGGATATTTTTAGTTTCCAATATATATATTTTTTATATTATTGCGAACTACATAAAGACGATTTACAACTAGTGTATTTTTTTCTAGGATTTTTATCATCTACCATATTCTTATCCATATTGAAATCTCAAACCTTCATGGCAATATAATTAATGGTTCGACAGGTTTTCGTCTCTGAATTCGATTTGTATCCATTGATAATTCGTTACGTAAAGTTTTAAATAATTGTTGCAGCACAAAAAAGATCACTTCACCAATACCAACTAATGAAAATCCCGCAAGAACGCCACAAATGCTGCCGATATAACCTGCAGACGAAATATTAAACATATCTTAATTTATAAGGAAAAACAAAGGTATCAATAGACGCATAATTTATTTCATACCGCATACCACAAATAAAATACTTACTGAATTTTTCAAACCATGAATTTAAGAGGAACCGTCGATAGTAGACACCATGGGTTACGCCAAAATACACATGCAGTAAGGCTAAATCCGAAAGATTGCCTTTGTGATTACTGTAAAGGAAAAAAAAGCAAATAAAGAAAACTAGAATGTCGTTAAGTTTTGACGAATAGATCTTTCAATAACCTCCACTATATGGAGGGTGTCGTAGGGGGTGGTAGGTACCATGCAAAGGCTCTGATTGGCTTTAACATGCCAAAGTCCAGGCTTATCTTGGTCTCTCTTTCATCTCAATTGTGGACACCTGGGGTAGCAATATTCACCATCCGCTGAAATAGTGAGCTGATATGAGCAGCGAGTTTACCCATAAGAACTATAACAATTGGGTTGAGGCGTCGGGCTAATTACCCACACTCGGAATACCCCTCCTACTAGGAAAAAGCAACGAAAAAAGAAAACCAAAACCCCCTAATGTTGACGATCCCCGCTAACGTATACTCGTAAAGGCCCACGATTTCGGAATTTACACATGGAATGTTCGCACGCTGTACAGAACAATCACGGATGTATTCAAGAGGTAAAAAAGCTGATATTATTGTCTTACAGGAAATGAGATGGAAAGGGATTTTAACGCAAAAAAAGCCTCCATGAATAAACATCAGATAACGGCATGAGGTTGATTGGCTTCGCGGAAGAAAAAAAAGGTAGTTAGTAGCACCAGATTCAAGCATTTCGATATACACCTGTATTCCTCCTGATCAAGCAACGAGAAATCAAATTGATCAATTGAATTGATTGATGTTGTGATTGACGGAAGGCATTCATCCCGTGTTTTAGATGTTCGATCGATCCGAGGAGCGAATATCGATTCGGACCACTACCTTGTAGTAGCCAAATTCCGCAATCGTCTCAATATAGCAGCAAAGGTGCAGTCTAACACAACAAAGAAACTCGGTATCGAAATGCTACAAACACAGCAGGTAGCAAAAGCCTACTCCGCTCAACTTACCCACCTGCTTGACGAAATCACTCCTTGTCCCGATAATAATATAGAAGCACAATGACAAAGATTTGCCCACTCCCCACAAACTGCAGCAAAAGCAACACTTGGATACCAAAGACCACTTTGTTGTAGGCACATCCTTCTGTAGAGATGAATATGGAAACTTGGTGACAGAGACAGATATATTGTTGAGGATCTGAAAGAAGCATTTTGCATAGCTTCTGGCATGAGCTAGTGACGATGAAGAAGAACCCCAGAACCAAGAAGAGATGACGGTATAGATTGTACACCACATCGCCAATATGAGGTCAGAATAGCAATTAATCGGCTGAAGAATAATAAAGGAGCAGATGCTGATGGATAACCATCCGAGAAATAACTCTCCTTTCCATCGCATATATGGCGCCATCCAGCTCCTTATATGCGGCAATGGTCAATGACATTATTGGACGATACCAATGCGGCTTCAATCCTTGCAAATCCACCATTGCCTACATTTTCACTCAGCGCCAAATCCTGAATCCGAAAAGACCCATGAAAAACTCATTGACACATTCCACCAATTCTTCGACTATAAAACCGCATTCTTCATTCTATGATGGTGTTTAAAGGCAATTGTGCGTTCGAAACTCCTGCAAACTTGATACGGCTATGCAGGATAACTATAACTGGCACAAGATCTGCAGCTAAAGTCGGAAAACCACTCCGAAGCCCTTCAATACGAACGAGGGTTCAGACAAATAGGTAATAACCTATCATGTGATATATGTTATTCGTATATGTCGATGATATCGACATAATGGGTCTAACATAGTGAGCAGCCTGCAATGAGAGTCAGGTCAGCAAATGCCGACAATACCAAACGGATGGTATCAACGTGCAAGACGTCCCGTCGACTCGCACCTACTTTAAAACTACAGCTGTGAGGTAGTCAGATATTATATCCACTTCGGCACCGCCGTAAATAAAACAAATGAAATCAGTTTTGAGATTCGAAAAAAATAATATTGGTTTATGGTCTAACGAACCAATTTTAAAATAAGGCGACCTCTCGTGTTAGACAAAAACTGGAAATCCATAAGACGATGATACCACCCACCCTGGTGAATGGATCTGAAGAAATATTGGCTAAAATCGGCTTCGAATGAACCACGAACTACACCATATACACACGGATATCGACATAATCAGACGTATCGAGCTGCGGCGGCTGCTCGATACGTCTGATTATGTCGTCTGATACGTCTGATTATGTCGTTAACCCAGTGGGTTAACCGGTAAAAGGCTAAGGATTCGATGATAAAATCAAGTGGAAAAGAACATCTCGAAACATTTTTGTTTGAAGTGGGGACATACATTGAAAAATGTCTTCCAACATGTTTTTCATCCTCCAAAAACTCTGATTGTCAAATAACAGCCTATGTGTCTAGAAAATTAATATAGAACAAGACACAATTCTAAAATAGGCGAATCTATTTTATACCAAGACGTGGACTTATAAAGCAATAAACAATGAGTTCCAGAACATCTAATCTTCCCTGAGCTTCAGTTGTCTATAAAGAAAATCTGATCTTTATTTCACTTAGCTGGTCTATACAGACTCTATAAGACTCTATAAAGACTCTTGTAGAAAGAAAGAGCTTCACTTCGTTTAAAATGACTCCCATAAGTACTTTAGTTCGTTTATAAAGATTCCCTCCCTTCTGCTCATCTATAAGATCTCCCAAAGGTTAAGTTCGTCTAAAATGGCTCTATGCGCATCAGCTCTCTTATAAAGACTCCCTGAACTTCAGCTCGGCTATATATAGAGTCATTACGCTTTAGCTCGTGTATAAAAGGATCACTAAGCATAAATTCATCTATTAAAGCCTCTTGAGCTTCTGCTAGTCAAACCAGTAAGGAAAGTAGTAAAGTCGGACGGGCCCGACTATATGATACCCTTCACCACTTTGGGAATATTCAACAGATGGAATCCTAACAGACGTCGCATTTTTGAAGGACCATTAACATGAAATTAAACATGCCATTCTGCAACCTATACTAAATTTTGGTCAGATATAGAGTTGCTTCTTACAATGGGACAAAATTATGTAAATAAATTTAAAGCAAAATATCGAAATCTAAACCGATTTCGTCAAATCTTGTCCCATGTTAGGTTACAATTATTTCAGTATGTTTTTTGCATTCGGCCACATTTTGAGTTCTTCATTAACTTATTTAACTTACTTTGGTGCACCATGTACATAAAATCGGACGAAAATATATATGACAGCTATATCTAAATCTGAACCGATTTTCACTAAATTTAACACACATCATTCTAGACCTAATTCAGTACCCTATCCCAAATTTCGTGCAAATCGTCTCTGTTGCATCATTTATATATGGGAGCTATATCTAAATGGGAGCTATATCTAAATCTGAACCGATTTTCACGAAATTTAACACACATCGTTCTAGACTTAATTCAATACACTATGATAAATTTCGTGCAAATCGAAGGATATATAGGGACTTTGGTGTACTATTTACCTAAAATCGGACGAAAATATATATGGGAGCTATATCTAAATCTGAACCGATTTTCACGAAATTTAACACACATCTTTCTAGACTTAATTCAGTACGCTATCCCAAATTTCGTGCAAATAGAAGGATATATAGAGACTTTGGTGTACTATTTACCTAAAATCGGATATATATGGGAACTGATTTTCACGAAATTTTACACACATCGTTGTGGACTTAATCCAGTACGCTATGCCAAATTTCGTGCAAATCGAAGGATATAAAGGGACTTTGGTGCACTATTTACCTAAAATCGGACGAAAATATATATGGGAGCTATATCTAAATCTGAACCGATTTTTCCCAATTTCAATAGGGTTCGTCCTTGGGCCAAATAAGTGAACTGTGCCAAATCATAAATGCGACCTGTACTTTGTTAACAAAAATACATGGACGGACAGACGGACAGACTACTTAGAGCTTCAGCTTGTTTATAATGGCACCCAAAACTTCAGCTCATCCATAGAGACTTCAGATCATCTAAAATGATACCTGAGTTTCAGCATTCGAATTAGTTCGAATAAGGAACATGGATGTAGGAACTCATAATCTTGTTAACCGGTAATCCTCAAGAGTAGATTTTTAAACATTGATTTCCATGGATAAGTACGTCTTATACTTGACTCTAGGAATCATCACAGATCTTTGCAGGATCTGGTCCTTCCTTTCAAATGGGAAATTATTCTTTGTATCTTAAAGTATCAAATGTTTGGTAGATATGTGTTGGATACTCTAACCTTTTTTTCTTCGAGTTAGGTCTGGAAATCATTCAACGCTTTGTCAGACTTTATGATCTTCATGTAATATCCTTAATAAACCAGTAAGGAAAGTAGTAAAGTCGGACGGGGCCGACTATATGATACCCTTCACCACATGGGTATATTAAACAGGACTATTAGCATGAAATTGGATGAAATAAAATATGTGGTATTTATCTAAATGTGAATCTACCTAGATCTATCCATAAAGTATGTAAATCGACTTCAAACAAATATAAATAGGTCATCCGTTGGGCTATGTCTGTACTTCTAGAAAACGCAACTACGTTATTCTATGCTCAATTTTGTACGATGTGCAAAATTTGATGTCAATCTGACTAACATGAGGAGTTTGATGTCCAATTTACTTGAAATCGGGCGGAAATATATATTTGGAAGCTCTAACCAAATATTAAGCGATTTCAAACAAACTTGTCACAGGTTAGGTTATACTAATTTCAGAACGTTTTGTTCCTATTGGTTCTTTGGTGCGTCAATTACTTAAAATCAATCTATAATAAAAGGGAGCTATATCTAAATCTGGACCGATTTTCACAAAACGCGGCAGACATCACTCTAGGCTCAAGTCAGTACGTTATGCGAAATTTCGTGCAAATCGAAGGACATATAGGCACTTTGGTGCACCATTTACATGAAATCGGACGAAACAATCGAAAGATATATAGGGACTTTGGGCACCATTTACATAAAATCGGACGAAACTATATATGGGAGATATATCTACATCAGGACCGATTTTCATGAAACTTGGCAGACATCATTCTAGACCTAAATAATTAGGCTGTACCAAATTTCGTGCAAATCGGAAGATATATAGGGACTTTGGGCACCATTTACATAAAATCGGACGAAACTATATATGGGAGATATATCTACATCAGGACCGATTTTCATGAAACTTGGCAGACATCATTCTAGGCTAAATTAAGTACGTTATGCCAAATTTCGTGCAAATCGAAAGATATATAGAGACTTTGGTGCACCATTTACATGAAATCGGACGAAACTATATATGGGAGCTATATCTAAATTTCGACCGATTTTCTCGAAAGTTGGCAGACATCATTCTAGGCTCAATTCAGTACGTTATGCCAAATTTCGTGCAAATCGAAAGATATATAGGGACTTTGGGGCACCATTTACATGAAATCGGACGAAACTATATATGGGAGCTATATCTAAATTTGGACCAATTTTCTCGAAAGTTGGCATACATCATTCTAGGCTCAATTCAGTACGTTATGCCAAATTTCGTGCAAATCGAAAGATATATAGGGACTTTGGGGCACCATTTACATGAAATCGGACGAAACTATATATGGGAGCTATATCTAAATCTGGACCGATTTTCACGAAACTTGGCAGACATCATTCTAGGCTCAATTCAGTACGTTATGCCAAATTTCGTGCAAATCGAAAGATATATAGGGACTTTGGGGCACCATTTACATGAAATCGGACGAAACTATATATGGGAGCTATATCTAAATCTGGACCGATTTTCACGAAACTTGGCAGACATCATTCTAGGCTCAATTCAGTACGTTATGCCAAATTTCGTGCAAATCGAAAGATACATAGGGACTTTGGGGCACCATTTACTTGAAATCGGACGAAACTATATATGGGAGCTATATCTAAATCTGGACCGATTTTCACGCAACTTGACAGACATCATTCTAGGCTTAATTCAGTACGATTTCTTTCGATTTGCACGAAATATGCCAAATGCCGATTTTCTCGAAAGTTGGCAGACATCATTCTAGGCTCAATTCAGTACGTTATGCCAAATTTCGTGCAAATCGAAAGATATATAGGGACTTTGGGGCACCATTTACATGAAATCGGACGAAACTATATATGGGAGCTATATCTAAATTTGGACCAATTTTCTCGAAAGTTGGCAGACATCATTCTAGGCTCAATTCAGTACGTTATGCCAAATTTCGTGCAAATCGAAAGATTTATAGGGACTTTGGGGCACCATTTACATTAAATCGGACGAAACTATATATGGGAGCTATATCTAAATTTGGACCGATATTCTCGAAAGTTGGCAGACATCATTCTAGGCTCAATTCAGTACGTTATGCCAAATTTCGTGCAAATCGAAAGATATATAGGGACTTTGGGGCACCATTTACATGAAATCGGACGAAACTATATATGGGAGCTATATCTAAATCTGGACCGATTTTCACGAAACTTGGCAGACATCATTCTAGACCTAAATGATTAGGCTGTACCAAATTTCGTCCAAATCGAAAGATATATAGGGTCCGTTTACATTAAATCGGTTAAATATATATATGGGAGCTATATCTAAATCTGAACCGGTTTTTCCCAATTTCAATAGGGTTCGTCCTTTTGCCAAGAGACAACCTTTAGTTCGTCTATAGAAACTCCCTTCAGTTCGTCTATAGAGCTTGTATGAAGATTTCCCGAGCTTTAACTTGTCTATAAGTATACCCAATGCTTTAGCTCGCCACTGAGCTTCAGTTCGGTCTAGAGCTTCAGCCCGCCTATATGAACTCTTCGAGCTTCAGCTGTCTGTACGGACCGTATTAAACCACTTCGAGACTTAGTTCGTCTATAAAGAACACCTGAGCTTCAGTTCGTCTAAAAGGACCCCTAAGTTTTAGCTGGCCAATAAATAGCTCCATGAGTCTAAAATGGCTCCATGAGTTTCAGCTCTCATTAATAAAGTTCAGGGACTTAACTCATTTATGAAGACTTCCTGAGCTTTAGCTCGTCTAAAAAGACTTCCTGAGCTTCAACTCGTCTAAAAAGACTACCTGAATTTCACCTAGTCTATAAATATTCTCTGAGCTTCAGCTCGTCTGAAAAGACTCCCTGAGCTCCTGCTCATCTATTAAATCTTCTTGAGATTGAAATTGTCTATAAAGCTCCTTTGAACTCTCAGCTTGCCTATAGAAACCTTCCTGCTTATTAGTTTGCCCGACTTTTTGATTAGGATACCTTCAAAACCATACATAATACGCTTTATAAAAATCAGAACAAAAGTTGTACATTATACAATAAAGTGTGATATTGAAAAATATCTCCACATTATCCCAAGACTTCAATCCTTTCAACCCCCTTCGCCAACGTCACAATAGCCATACTTACGTGAATGATTTCATATTATATTCGTTTAATGGTAAATCCATTACGGTGACACTATATTGTGTTTCACTACAGGTGGGTAGACAATATGGACAATATAATGAATCCTCCATTTCACGTTCCAGGCCAGCGGTATTTGGTCGTTGTGTCATAACATTGTACCATTTAACTGAAAAGAAGAAAACCCCAAGAGTAAGATAAGGAACAGAAGAAGAACAATATAATATGTCAGTAACATATTGAATTAAATAAGGTAAGGTAAGTGCTTGAAGACGCCATTAAGGATGTATTATTCGGTCTTCACTGCGACAAGAATTATAACAACAACAACTTACAATCATAACGCATCAGACATGCACGATGTTGCAGGCTACAGTAAGCGGTCGACGATGATATATTCAAGCTATTCGCCATAAAGGGCAGACATTCACACAACACAACTTGGCTGCGTGTTCGACAATAGGATATGCAACTACTGTAGGTATATGATTTCCCAAAGAGTTCGGGCAGTTCATCATTAAACATGCAGTTGCGCTAAGGAGGTTATACATAAAGTCATTGAAGGAAGTATTTGAAACAACAATGAGATTTTATAATATTGAAATATAAATATACATACCACCCGTGGCTTATAAAATCGCACCTCATCGATTGTCTGAAAAATTCTTGGATTTAAAGCCAGAAATGTATCCTTACCACCTTCGACAATACGTTCTTCTACACTGCCGGAGGATGGATCGGGTGAGATATAGGGACTGTGTATGAAAACCTGATGAAGGGGAAATTCTGTTTAATACTATACCATGATATTTTGGGCATACTCACCTCAAACCTTTCCGAAGAGGCCGTTGGTATGAAGTCATCAGCTTGTGAAGCATTTAGCAAGACGACTAAACCCATATCTGGACCAAAAAATCGATGACGGAATTTACGTTTTGCTGTGTACCTAAGACATACATATAAATCAGGTGATATTTGTTATAAAGAGTCCGTCCTAGAAAGCCTTCATGAGATTCAGTTTGTCCACTGGGACTCAGAAAGACTCATTCTTGTACTTTGGCCCATCTGTAGAGTTTCATATACTTATATAGACTAACTTCTGCTCGCCTATAGAGACTCACTTCAGCTCGTCTATAGAGACTCACTTCAGCTCGTCTATAGAGACTCACTTCAGCTCGTCTATAGAGACTCACTTCAGCTCGTCTATAGAGACTCACTTCAGCTCGTCTATAGAGACTCACTTCAGCTCGTCTATTGAGACTCACTTCAGCTCGTCTATAGAGACTCACTTCAGCTCGTCTATAGAGACTCACTTCAGCTCGTCTATAGAGACTCACTTCAGCTCGTCTATAGAGACTCACTTCAGCTCGTCTATAGAGACTCACTTCAGCTCGTCTATAGAGACTCACTTCAGCTCGTCTATAGAGACTCACTTCAGCTCGTCTATAGAGACTCACTTCAGCTCGTCTATAGAGAATCACTTCAGCTCGTCTATAGAGACTATAGAGACTCACTTCAGCTCGTCTATAGAGACTATAGAGACTCACTTCAGCTCGTCTATAGAGACTCACTTCTGCTAGTCTATAGAGACTCACTTCAGCTCGTCTATAGAGACTCACTTCAGCTCGTCTATAGAGACTCACTTCAGCTCGTCTATAGAGACTCACTTCAGCTCGTCTATAGAGACTCACTTCAGCTCGTCTATAGAGAATCACTTCAGCTCGTCTATAGAGACTATAGAGACTCACTTCAGCTCGTCTATAGAGACTATAGAGACTCACTTCAGCTCGTCTATAGAGACTCACTTCAGCTCGTCTATAGAGACTCACTTCAGCTAGTCTATAGAGACTCACTTCAGCTCGTCTATAGAGACTCACTTCAGCTCGTCTATAGAGACTCACTTCAGCTCGTCTATAGAGACTCACTTCAGCTCGTCTATAGAGACTCACTTCAGCTCGTCTATAGAGACTCACTTCAGCTCGTCTATAGAGGCTCACTTCAGCTCGTCTATAGAGATTGCCAGAGCCTTATCTTGCCTAGAATGAACCCGAAACTTCAGCTAGTGTATAAACACCAAGTTTCTGCTCGTCTATAAAGACTCCCTGAACTTTAGCTCCTTTTAAAAATTTCCTGGGCATCAGCTCGTCTATAAAGACTCACTGAACTTTGGTTCGTCTAAAAGGACCCCTGCGTTTCAGCTTGAAAATAAAGAGCCCCAGAGCATCAGCTTGTCTATAGAGCTCCATGAGCTTCAGCTGGTCTAGAAAGAAAACCTGCGCTTCAGTTCACTTATCTAGACTACCTATGCTCCAGCTGTTATATAAAGACCTACCTGCGCTTCAACTCAATTATCCCGAGTTTCAGCTCGTCTAAAATGACTCTTAAGCTTCAGCTAGTCAATAAAGGCTCCCTGAGCTTCAGTTCGTCTAAAGTGACTCCCTGCGTATCTGATCTTTTATAATAAAATTCAGGTACTTTAGAAGATTTATAAAGATTTCCTAAGACCGTCCCGTCTAAGACCGTCTAGAAAGACATCTGAGCTTCCTCGAGCTTTAGTTCTTCTATAAATACTCACTAGACTTGAATTAATCTATAAAAGCGCCTTGAGCTTCTGCTCATATAAAAAGACTGCCTGAACTTCAGATCACTTATAAAGATTCCCTGAGCCTTAGTTTGGGTATAAAGACTTCCTGACCTTCAGCTCGTCTATAAAGGTGTCATGAACGTCTGTTCATTATCAGCTCATCTAAAATTACCGTTGAGTTAAACTCCTCAATAAATACTCCTTGAGCTACATCTTGACAATAAAGAGTTTCAGATCATCAGCTCTCCTATAGCGTTTCCTGAACTTCAGATTGTCTATAAAGAAAATCTGAGTTTCAGTTCGCGTAGAAAGACTACCTATGTCTCACTCGGTCTATTAAGACTCCCTGACCTAAAAAGACTACCTAAATTTCAGTACGCTCCTGAGTCTTAGTTCGTGTAAAAAGACTATATGAGCTTCAGATCGCTTTTAAAATGACTCCTGAGTTTCAGCTTGTCATAAAATTTTCCCTGAGCCTCATTGCCCGAGTTTCAGCTCTATTATCAAGATTCTCTGAGTTTCAGCTCGTCTATAAGTATTACCTGAGTTTTTGATTGTCTGTAAAAATTCTCTGAGTACTACTTCATCTATAAAGACTTTCCGAGATTGAATTCATCTATAAAGACCTCTACCACCCCTCCCTGAGCATCACCTCATCTATAAAGTATTCTCTAAAAACCCCCCGATCTTTAGCTCCTCTAAGGAAACCCGGAGCCTTGGCTTGTCTATAAATATTTCCTAAGCTCATGTGGGTCTAAAAAATTCCTTTGGCTTCAATTCGTCTGTAAAAACCCCTTTGAGTTTCACCTCGCCATAAAATACTTTCCTGACTCTTAGTTGATTTTTATCTCTTTCGAAATGTTTGTATTTATAGAAAAACTTACTTTTTATCCCGATTAAATGTACAGCATAGGCCCCTTGCGGTAAACGTCTTCGTAAATTCTTGGGCGCAATCAATTTCTTCACCTCCCAGGCGGCATCCTTTCAATATGGTGCTACAACTTGGTGTTAACTGTAAGAAAATTACAACTTCAGACATTTTTTCCTGCTGCCTGATACAACCCCACAACATACCAGGGCCATTCTTCGTTTCGTATTAAAGAACATTTCATCATCCTCCCGATCGTAAATATCAAGGAATCGCTGAAATTTCAATGCATTCTCATAATCGGGCATATCACCGCGTACATAGTAATTGTATTGCAAGAATTTAATTTGCTTATAAAAATAATCGGCGCTGCGTTTTCTGGGATCCTTCATGCGTCTGTTGATTACGTTCCGTTGCGTTGAATTCGATAAACAAAAGGATTTCATTAACAAACAAGAACAAAAACCCCCGTTTGGCTAGGGGTAACTCACAGTTCTTCGGCATAACGTCTGGCCGACTCGTTCGATATGCGATTCATTGAACAAATCGATACTGCCGGAAATGAGACTTCACTTATGGGATATATGGGATCGTAAATAGAGGTGGTCAGCAGCCGTTTGTTCGTGTTGTTGTAGTTCATAAGGAAAATAATTAGCGCCGACAATGTCAATATATGGAAAGCAAGCCAAAATAATCTGCCTCCAAATACAGTGGGTTGTGGGTGCATATGTAGGTATGTATGTTATACACATATCGTGGAATATGTGACCATATGGGAAATGGAAAAGTAACGTTTATTCTTAGTGGGGGTTTCAACATGTACCATGATATATTTTAGAACGACAGGTTAATGGCGGTGCTGTAGTGCAAATAAATGATATTCCAGCTAATTACGCATCCTTTTCGGGGTTGGTTAATTAACATGGAGAATGGTATTCAATTGTTATGGAAGGGCAACAGTGGTTAAGCTCGTCCATGGTAGGCTCATGGTGTTTCTGTTCATATATTAAGAATTCTGAATTCAACCTCAGCTCTCCTCTAATGAATCTCTGAACTTATATAAAGGCTACCCGAGCTCTAGGTTTGTATACTACATAGAGCTCCCTGAATATAAATTGTCTTTAAAAACTACCTGAGCCCCAGCTCACCTATAAGGTTCTCTGAGCCTCAGCTCTATTATATAGATTCCCTGGGTTTCAACTCGTTTGTAAAGACTCTCTGATCATTAGCTCTTCTATAGAGACTCTCTAAGCTTCAGTACATTTATAAAGGCCACCTGAGTTCAACGTCGTCCCTGAGTTTTGCCCTGAGCATTAACTCTACTATAAATATTCCCTAAGCTGAAACCCGTCTCAAAAGGTTCCCTGATCCACTGCTCTTTTATAAGGTCTACTTAGGCTCCAGGTCGTCTAAAAAGAATCTATGAGCCTCAGCTAATCTATAAAGACTCCCTGAGCATCACCTCTTCTATAATGACTCCCTAAGCTAAAGCTCGTCTATAAAGACTCCCCGAGCTTCAGCTGATTTACAAATATTCCTTGAGCTTCAGGTCATCTATAAAGGCTACCTGAGCTTCAGGTCGACCATAAAGACTGAGACCTGAGACTCTCAGCTAGTCTATAAAGTCATTGAGCTTCAGCTCTTCTATAAAGACTCCTAGATATTAAGCTCAGCTACCTGAGCTCTAGGTCGTCTAAAAATACTGCCTGAGCTTCAGGTTGACCATAAAGACTCCCTGTGTCTCCCAGCTCACCTATAAAGACACTTGAGCCTCACGTCTCCTATAAAAATTCCCTGAGCTTCAGCTCTTCTATTAAGACTCCCAGATCTTAAGCTCGTCTATAAAGAATCCCTGAGCTTCAGTTGTTCTATAAAGACTACCTGAGCTACAGGTCGTCTATAAAGACTACCTGAACTCTAGATCGTCTATAAAGACCCTTGAGCCTTAGCTCTTCTATACAGACCTCCTGAGCTTATGCTATAAAGACTCACTGAGCCTTAGCTCCAGGTCGTATATAAATAATCCTTCAGCCTCAGGTTGACCATAAAGACTCCCTGTATCTCCCAGCTCATCTATAAAGACACTTGAGCCTCAACTCTTCTATAAAAACTCCCTGAGCTTCAGCTCTTCTATTAAGACTCCCAGATCTTAAGCTCGTCTATAAAGAATCCCTGAGCTTCAGTTGTTCTATAAAGACTACCTGAGCTTCAGGTCGTCTATAAAGACTACCTGAACTATAGATCGTCTATAAAGACCCTTGAGCCTTAGCTCTTCTATCCTTGAGCCTCACCTCTTCCCTATTTATATAAAAATCCCTGAGCCTCGGCTTTTCTATAAAGGCTATCCAAGCTCCAGGTCATCTATAAAGAACCTTGAGCTACACACTCCTATATAAAGACTCCCCAAGACTCAGCTCGTGTATAAAGGCTACCTGAGCTCTATGTCAACTATAAAGACTCCCGGAGCTTCAGCTTTACAATATGGTCTTTCTGAGGTTCACCTCGTCTATAAAGACACCCTGAGCATATGTTCGCCTATAAAGACTCCCTTAGTTACAACTCATCCATAAAGGCTACCTGAGATCTAAGTCTTCTAGAAAGACTCCCTAAGCGTCAGCTCATCTCTAAAGACCCTTTGAGCTTCAGCTTGTCTACAAAGACTCCCTTGGCATCAGGTCGTCTATAACATTTTCTGGAGTTTTTGCTGCTATATAAAAGACTACCTGCTTCCTGCACTTCAGCAAAGTTTGTTAAGATTTCCTGAGTTTCAGCTCTTTTATAAAGACTTCCTTTAACTTCAGCCCGCCTTTTAAAACCTCCCAGAGCTTCAGCTTGTTTGTAAGGAGTCTTTGAGTTTCAGCTGGTCTACAGATACTTCCAGAGCTTTGATCGCATATAAAGACTCCCTGAGCTTCAGTTCGCCTGTGAATGACTTCTGAGCTGTTGCAGGACTATTTTTATCAGATTTATGTTTAGATTATATCCACTTCAACACCGCTTTCGAAACCACTTTGCTTTCCTCAAATGTTCTACCAAAAGAGCCTTCCTCATCCTCCTACATAGGGGTACATACCTTTCTTGGCATGGCCGGCCATGTTCAACTAATTTCCCATAGCTGTGAAATGAAAAATTCTGCAAAAAATCTTTCAATGCTGCGGCAAATGTAAAATTTCGCGTCTGATTGCCGTTAGTTGTTGATGGTGGTATCCACCATGGTGCACGACCCATCACAAGTGTAACATCCGTTTCCTTTTGTCTATATGGGTATGGATCCACTGACTGTTGGATTTTTGGTTGTGGTGGTAGTGGCTGTGCTGGTTGCATTTGACTTTTGGTTCGATTTAACGGATGCCGGCGATGTTGGTTTTGGCGTACCAAAGGATATGTTTTCATGTTTATTGAGTTGTCGTCGTCCTCGGTCTCGGCCTCGTCGATGTAGTCGTTCCACTTGCCCACCGAATTGATTTTGTTGTTTCTGCTGGCGATGTTGTTGTAGTTGTTTCTTGTTGTTATTGCTGCACTCGTATTGTTTTGATATTGAAATTGATTCGTGAAGGCAAACAGTATCGATGGCTGAATTTATCTATCCGCGAGTAACAATAACTTGCAACTGACGTTGACTTTGAAACAAACAATTGGTTTTTATAGACGTTGCATGTGTGTGAGTGTGTGGATGTGTGCGTATGTGCTATGGGGTACATTTACATATTGGAGAATATTAATGTGGGTTAGGATTACGATGTATAGGAATGAAGCTTTGTTCATTTTGTTAAACAAATATCGTTATTTCCCCTTTAATATCGACCCAACTGTATATCTTCATGCGTAGATAATTGTTAAAAATCTTCGACATGACATTCCATGTAAGTCAATTTACATACTTATATCTGCATTTCATAAAACAATTTTACATTAGGAAGGGATTGGTCGGGTTGTTTGATACCTTGTAATGGCTTGTGAGAGTACGCATTATTGACTCGTTTAAAGAAGACTACTTTTAGGCAAACAGGTGTGAGTAATGAAAATTTGAGGGGTATTTAAGGTTTATTGAAATTGATGTTAAGGTACGCTATAAGATTCTATGGATACACAACTGATACACAAAGAAAGATGGTAGCTGAAGAAGATGATTTGATGTTCAGAAAGTGGAACTAAAGCTCAGTGAGTTTTTATAGAAAAGTTGAAACACTGATATTTGAAGCTGAAGCTTAGATTTTTCTTTTTAGACGAACTAAAGCTTAGAGGGGATTTTAAAAGAGTTGAAGTTGGAGCAGTTAGGCCGAGCTGAATTATAAGAAGTCTTTATAGACAGGTAGAGGAATACATTGCGAATCAGTGGGTCTTTGAAGATGATAAAACTCAGGTAGTGTTTAGAAGCCAGCTGAAGCTTTGGCGATCTTTATAGACTTGTGATCTTTAGAAAATTAAATAAGGAATATATTAGATGATATGAAGGGAGTTTTTATATACAAGAACAATCCGGAAGTCGTTACATATGAACAGAAACATTTATTATTGCGGGCTGCAGGAAGTATTTATACTCTACACAACTATGTTGTCAGGGTATTATAGCTTTGTGCAGCCCCAAAAGTTTGTAACGACGCGAAATATTGCTCCTAGACCCACCATTAAGTATACCGATTGTCATATCTCGACTAGCTGAGTCGATCTAGACATGTGTGTCCGTCCGTCTGTCGATTATAATTTGTAAACACGATACAGGCCACAGTTATGGACCAATCTTCACGAAATTTTGCATGTAGGCTGGGTTCGGCCCAATGAAGATCGGTTAATATTTAGGGGATGAAATTGACCAAATACTTAATTTTTCTCGGTTTTTCTGGTCGCTCCAGAGGCCGCAATTATGGCCCAAACATCTCCAATTTTTACATGGAGAAGGGGATTGGGCCAAAGAATAAGCATGCCTTTTTGATAAAGATCGGTCAATATTTAGTGGTAAAATGGACCCTGACTTTTGTGTGAAAAATTAAAAAAAATTTTCTTCTAAAGCTTATATATTTACCCCTGAAGGACATAGACCCAAGACCCAAGTTGACAGTATATCCAAGAGGAGTGGTTGACCTTTAATTTGATACCATTTATATGGTTGTATGTACTCGGATGTGGGAGTTACAACTAAATATTTATTGATGCTTACGTATTCATATATTACTTAGTAACCCATTACCACACTAGAGGGCGTAAATGTAGCGCTGATCGCTTTGAAATTTTCTATGAGGTTCCGGTTATGGTCAAGGACGACGTCTATAATTTCGGTGATGTTGAGATGATATTCTGAAAACTTTATTTTTGTCAGATTTGCTAGTCGCTCCATATTTTACACGGTAGAGGGGATCTGAGCAAATATTTAAAATTGATGTAGATGGCTTTTTAGGTCTCATGGTGTTTTTATAAACCATCTGTCGCTTTAAGAGTCTTTGTAGAAGAAGTGAAGTCCACTGGGTTTTCAGATGAAGGTTATATGAAGCACATGGAGTTCTTACGAACTGAAGCCCACGAAGTGCTTTCAGGCCATTTTAATGTTAGGGAGTCTTTATAGAATAGCTGAAGTTCATGAAGTGTTTGAAATTGATCTAAGGGTTTTGAATTGCTTATATATCTACTGAATCTCAGGAAGTATTATAAACCAGCGGGAGCTACGCCCACGAAGTGCTTTCAGGCCATTTTAATGTTAGGGAGTCTTTATAGAATAGCTGAAGTTCATGAAGTGTTTGAAATTGATCTAAGGGTTTTGAATTGCTTATAGACCCACTGAAAATATGCCAAGGTTAGAAAATGGAGCAGTTGACTTATAATCGGTCTAGAGGGTGCAAATATCGCGAAATATTGCCAGGCTCACCGAAAGTTAGATTTCCCACAGAAAGTTAGATTTTTATGGTAGTTGTGTAGGGTATCATATGATCGGCCCCGTCCGACTATACTGCCCCGCTCACTGGTTTTAAATATATTTATACGAATATTTATACGCTGGAAGTCGTTCAAGGAATGGTAAAGGACGAGTAGAAGCCTTCAGTCTTCATAGACCAACTGAGGCTATGCGAGTCGTTATAGAAGATCTGAAGATCAGGCTGGCTTTTTAGGTCTCATGGTGTTTTTATAAACCATCTGACGCTTTAAGAGTCTTTGTAGAAGAAGTGAAGTCCACTGGGTTTTCAGATGAAGGTTATATGAAGCACATGGAGTTCTTACGAACTGAAGCCCACGAAGTGCTTTCAGGCCATTTTAATGTTAGGGAGTCTTTATAGAACAGCTGAAGTCCAAGGAGTGTTTGAAAGTGATCTGAAGGTTATCAAATGCTTATAGACCACCGGAATCTATTAAAGACCAGACGATGCTCAGAGAAGCTTTGGGTACCGGCAGAAGCTCAGGTAGTTTTTATAAACCAACTTAAATTCAGGGAGTTTAGATGATCTGAAGGCCAGACAGACTTTACATCTTTATAAGCTAGCTGAAGCACAATAGGCATTTATAAACCAGCTGAAGCTAGACGATCTGAACCTCAGGTAAACTTACAAGACTTGCTGAAGTTCAGTTCAGAGAGAACAGTTGTTCCTTAAGTCGAGCTTAAAAAAAGATGTCGAAGTCGTGGCTTTCCCCTTCGACTCGCTTTTTGATTCGTTTTTATATGCCTTTTGAGCTGGGATATACTCATATATTTCCACAACATGGCCTAAACACCGCATATTGACCCGGAGATTGCCTCATCTGCTTGCGCAAGTACCCATGCTTCAGATACATACACCAGCACGAGTAGTATGAGCATGTTGTATAGTGTGAGTTTGGTCTGGTGAGAGGTGGCCTCGTTCCTAAATTGCTTACTCAGACCTTAGTAGCATCTGTTGGCCAACACTATCCTTCTCCGAATTTCAAAACTGATGTCATTTGTTTTATTTATGGCAGTACAGGGGTATAAAAAAATCATTGACTACGTCTAAGCTGTAGTTTTCAAGTTCTACATTTCCGAGTCTACTAAACGTCTTGTGCGTTGATACCATCAGCTTGGTCTTCTCGCCATTTACTGCCAGTCTCACTATGGAAGACTCCTTCTTATTTTTTTCAAAGGCGGTTGTGTCTGCCAAACACACCTCTGAATGGATAGGGCTGTCCAATGTTGCTTTACAGTCGGCGAATAGGTGAAATGTGTCGATGTGTTATTCGTGGGTGTTTTTCCAGGATCTGGCACAGAGTGAAATTCTGGTCAATGGTGGATTTGCCAGGCCTGAAGCCGCATTGGTATGGTCCAATAATGTCATTGACCATTGGCTTCAGTCTTGCACACAGCACGATGGATAGCATGCATTCCTCTAGCCAAATTGTACAAATGAGCTGGTGCATGCTCCTCATCTTACAACCGATCTTGAATAGTGCGGCACCTGCTGCTTTATTGTTCTTCAGCCCATTAATTGCTACTCTGACCTCATCTGATTTACTTAGGCCAGAAAGAGGGAACAAGCTTTTTCTTGGGCTTCGCCATGTTAAAGCCAATCAGAGCCGTTGCTTGGTATTTGTCATCCCCTATATAGAAAATATAGTAAAGAATGAAAGGCCTTCTTGTGTATTTATGGCTTAAAAAACATTTTTATAGGGTGTTCACATATGGTGTGATATTATCCACCACTTTACAAAGCATAATTATTGTGAAATTGATTGCAACAGTTGTTATCATTGCTATGATATTTCTTTTTTTTCAAATTGACTTCATATTTAGGGTTACAAGGTACCCCTGTATGCAATACGCATATTTACAAACAATTTAGATGGTTATGTGCATTAGATCCATGTACCTTTTAATTATCAATATTAGGGATACAAGGACAACATAATTGTGTGAGCATTTTTCATAGGATGTGGAACATTTGCTACGTACATATCATCTCATTAACGGCGACATGACAGGCATTTATCCTGACATGAGTGACTGTTGTTTTTGAAATTAACAATTCCTTTCGAAATGAAAGTGGGGTGGCAGTGTTAATTGTGTTTGCTTTTTCATTGTCTTTTTAGTACCATTGAAGAAGTTTGGGTGCTCGAAACATTGTATTTCTTAACGTGTGTAAATATCGGTTTCAAATCAAGTTCTATGCTATTCCAAAGGCTACGGTTGTGTGTATCGAATGCATATAGCTTTATTATATATATATATATATATATATTGAAACGAATCTGTCAGTTAAAGTCACGATAGTGTTCAATGTAGAACATTCTATTACGGCAAGGGCACTTTGTTTTATTTATGAGATCGGTCCATGTTTCAAAAGAGCCACATCGTTCTCGAACATGAATCGGTCCACAACAACTGTTCCAATTTAAGTGTTATTCTCATTCTAAGAGAATAAAAGACCCCTTGACAAAAAAAATCAATAATTATCCAA